CTCTTTCCAAAAAGCCCAGGCTATGTTTTCAACTGATAACAATCTGGAAAACTCTATTCACTCCAAACTCACTTTTTCAAGTAAATTTTTGAAAAAGTGAAAACATCTTATTATTACCTTTCATGAGATGTTTCTCCTTAGAAGCAATTGTTTGCTACTACAATAATTTATAACTCACTATACCTGCATTATCTTTGGTTAATGATTTGTTTCAAAAGAAAACCCAGTGTGTTGAGCAAGAGTAGAACAGAGGACTGTTTGTTTGCAGAGTGTGGTCAGGGAGAGCCACTAAAGTTCTGGAGTGACAGGATTTCTCTACGCTAATATGAAGACTTCGCTCCACACATGGACAACAGAACTTGCATTTCCCATTGTGAAAGTGATTCTGTAGTCCTACTTCTAGATTCTGGTTCAGGGTACAACATTCTTCTAAATTCCCACACACTTTTCTGAAAGAATTCATAATGCAGTTGTTTCAACCTGTGCTTTAGATTCTCATTATTACTCCTACATTAGGTACACAGTGCAAAATGGCAATGAACAAAGAAAGAACTAAAGCCAAAAAAAACCAAAACCATAACCTGTTTCACTTCACCATGTGATACAACAAATATTTTCTGCATTCAGAGAAACTGTTCTACCAAAAGAAAAACATGCAGTTGCCAGTTACCAAAACACAGGCTAAAAAATCATTCTTCCAAAATATTTTTTTTCTTTTTTTGCCTACAGATGGCAGAATAGGTAGTTTCCTCAATACATTTCTGGCAAGGAAATTCCAAAAACCCTTGTTCCAGGAATTTTGCAGACTGAAAACACAGCTGTTCAGATTCACTGATCTAACCTATGACACCATGGATATTCCTATTGGTGAAGGAGGCTTAAGGGGCAGACAAAATGACAGCTGGTCCATTTCTTCTCTTGCACCTAAATCCCATTTAGAATTAGGATTAAGATAACTGGAAAACAATCTATTGACTCAACAAATCCTGCCTAGCTAGGGGATATATATGATTTAAAAAATGTAAAATGTTGAAAGTGGGCTTTAAATACTTCCTTAATAATGGTAACTTTAAAATTAAGCAACATTTTTAGAAACCATATTCAGGTTACTTCAAGATCTGGGAGTTTAGACTAGGGAAAGGTATGTGTAATACTTTTCTGGTCTGTAAACACATACCATATACAAGTAAGATTTTTAAAACCCTATTTAAATAATTTTGCATTAAGTTTGGAAAATAATTTGGATCATAAAAATTCAAAGCAATGCAATCACATTGATTCTAAACTTCAACTTGAAGTACTGATCTTATTTCTCCATTCATTGAGAATGGAATCCCATTTATATCAGAGTATAGAGTCTGACCCAAGACAGACTTCCTAATTTTTTATGTAATCATCTTGTGCTTAAAATTTTATTAAACATTTTGAAGTCCACATATGCACTTAATTTTTAGATGAACTTTGCAGAAGACAGATCAAATTGGGAAATTTATTTCAACATATAGGCAGGCCACAGTAATTTATGAAAGATTAGACAGAAAGACTCTCTCTTGGCTTCTACAGCAAGAATGTTTAACTCAGTGGGGTGGTAGAACTTATTCTCAATTTTATAAACTGAACACATTTAAATTCTCATTTAATGTGTCTCTTGATATACCTCCATACACTTGCCTTTGAACTTCACATTTGCTTTTATGTGGTAATTTTTTAAATTTTGGGTGCTGACCAAATAAGGCACATATTAATATTAAAAATATCTCTACTGGAGAATATAAGGAGGGATCTCTGCAAGTTTGAACAAAACGTCAAGGTGGATCACAGGATAAACAAAACTTCAGTGCATCCTTAACACCAGTGTGGAGGGGAAGAGTCTGCTTGTGGATAGAGTGCCATCATACTAAAAAGCTGAAAATTGAAATTAAATATTGATTCATATTCAGTTATTAAAAAAACACCATCAATTGTTCAACTCTGTAACATCTTAGAATTTGCTAACAGTGGAGGCTGATTTGTCACCATACTGACATGTGAAGTAAAACTAAATCACTCATCAAAACTCTAATTCTGCTGAGTTTAGTCTTCTCTATGAATTGATGGGGGGGAGAAACCAAAAACAAAACAAACACACGAAATATGCTGACTGACCCTCCTGCTGGTCTTCTTCCAAAGTCCTCAATGATACTGAGGGTAACAAAGCAATTCCAGATTCACATTGTATCTTTATGCTGTTTAAATTCAGCTTTATCTTGCTTAGAATTTTTTCCACAGCTGGATTTTCTAGAGGCAGTTCCACTTATTTTGCTAGTTCCCTAGATTGATTTTGGAAGGCTGACTCCCACTCATGCAATTGAAAAGGTCAAAACATACGCCATCCTCTAGGGAGCATAATGCTGTTTTCAGCAGAAGTCCACAGCAAAAAAAAAAACCTTCATGTCAGCTGAATGGAAATCCAGCCTGAGAGCCACTGACATTTTCGACTCATCTTGGTAACACTGAAATGATGATCCTGAAATCCTTACTTAGACAAAGCTTCCCCTGAGTCCTAGATAGCTGACCAGTAATTGCACAGATTAACAGTTGCATTCAATGACAGACCTGATTGCTTCAAATTTATTTTACCTCAGGTTAGCAGTTCTAAAACATTCTTCCAGCTATGAATACAGCTTCTCTAGAAACTTAATTTAGGAAGCTAAGTTAAAACTACCATTTCAAATAAACCCTGTGCCATGTACAATGCCAACACCACAACAAGGTAAAACACACAGGTGAAATAAGTGTCATAAAAAAATAGAAATACTTCATAACCTTGAAATATCTTGTTTATCACCAGAAGCATACACAAAGGGAAGAAAGAAATAGGAACATTATACAAGCCTACTTCTCCCACGGTCCTAGAAGTTTCACTCTGCTTTGGGCATTTAACAGTTAAAGAAGCAATGGCATGCTAACTGAGCACATTAAAACAAAGAGTTGGCAGCTTCTGAAGGAAAAGGGCTTGTGCTCCACTGTTCCAACTTGTCAGTCAACTCATGCCAGCACTCTCCACGTCTGCCTCTTCAACACACCCTCATTACATGTGTTTGTCTGGACTGATCTGCTCATCTGCTCAGGGACTCTCCTGACAAGTCAAAAATTCTGCCTTCTCTCTGCTCTGGAATTGGATCAAATCACCTCAGCTCTTTTTGTAGCCCCACCAGGAGGCTTTTTGCTTATGCTTTCATTCTGTTTTCTTTCACTACTTGTCTGTTTTTGATTTCTAGAATGGAGGAAGCTGAATTGCTGAAAGAAAGATTCCAGGCCATAACAGTAAGTGCTTACAGTTATCATTTGCTATTTAAAAAACAAAACAGAAAAAGCCAAAAAACAACAAACTAGGATTGTGTTAATGAGCTGCTGTGTGTTTGCTGAGGAATTATTTATCCCAGGACAGAATAAGAGACTTATATACGTTTGAAATTTTTCCTTTTTAATTCTGGTTTATAAGCTATTGCTTTAAGACAGCAAAGTTGCCTGTAGTGACTTCATTATGGGTTGTATTGCACTTTCAAATTAAATTCAAAGCAGTGAAAGTATGAGTGCAAATCAATACTGGCCATTTTAAAATACATACTGCTATCGTCACAACTAAACGTTTGCCTGAAGGACAGCAGGTCAAAAGGCAGCTAGAGATTTCCAGAACAAATCAATTTTCCCATTTCACAATAAAACTAGAAGATAAAATATTTTGGGTTTTGCACTGTGGAATTAAATACAGTTTCTGAATTACTGATGATCTGTTGTAAATATTGTTGTCTGAAAAGTAAAAAGGGACAAGCTTGGATTAAGCAGATTCCTACCTGTCAGTTTTCAGAGGAAAAAAAAAAGCATGCAGGGAAGTTTATGTTGAAGACATTAGAAAACATTTTCTTCTCTAAAGGGGAGTCTGATTGAAAAGATTTACTGTGTATTAAAGGAAATACTGAGTTTTTTTAAAAGAAATACAATGTGATATGACAAAATGGCTAAATCCAAGTCCAGTGATTTGCTCTCCACTGAAACCTATTCAGTTACAAAATAATTAAGCTGAAACAAAATTTGGCCCCTTTGGGATGAAAGGAAAACTGCAGGATTACTCACTGTCATAGTCAATATTTGAAAAAAATAAAAGGAAAAAAGGTATATTTCACACTATTACCATGATAAATTAGTTGTGAAACAAACACTACTAGGCAAATAGAAAGCAGAGTTCAAAACACCTTATTGAAACCAAAATATATGTGAGAAAGTATAACTGGAAACCTACAGGAGTCTAACAGGTTGGGCCCTTATTTTGTTGGGTTTTAATTATTGACACTTAATAAAAGTCAACCGGATCACTTATCATTTTTACTTGAGATATAACTCAAGCCCACAATAATGTGAAAGGTTTTAAAGTGTATTTGTTTGTTCAACTGTAATGGTGATTCAACCAGACTCATAACCTGAACTTTGTCTCTAGTGTATGTGCTCAAGAGATAGATGTTTCTGCGGAAAAGTTTAGGCCTTGCAATATTTTATACTTCCCCGTATCTAGCAGGAGAAATGGGGCAGCTTGCTTGCCTGATGAGGATGCCTATGAACATACTAGGGTTAGCATCTCCTAGCTGTATCTCTGCCTTCAGATGAATACTGGAGAAGTATTTTTTTTTTAAGAAACTGTGACAGCTTCCAGCATCTTGTATTACAGGAAATAATATTTGGGTTCTGGGCACAACTTCTTTTTTTACACTTGCTGCATAAAGAAACTATTTGCTTTCTACTTTCATCCGCTGAGAGCGTTTAATTGGAACAAAGTATTTGCTATAATGCACTGCAGAAATGAAGGAGAAATTATCTTCATGTTTAAGAATCTGCAGTATGAGTTCTCTAAGAAAACAACTCATTACAATTATGAGTTACTTGGAGGATCTGGGAACATTTGTGTTGTAAAGAATCTAACAGGATAGCAAGGGACACTCAGAGCAGTAAATAACTACACTTGCACTAAAACCTGGTTGGCTTCTGTTGTTAAATATTTGGCTCCTTTACAGCATCCGGCTCTCACAGAGCCACTGAGAGTTTTCAGATTCTTTTCCATATCTTCTGTATGTATCAAAGCAAAAAGGAAAAACCCCTATTGTTGTTATTAATATTTAAATGCTCCCACAGCTCTGAAAAGGAACTGTTCTTCGCTGTTATGTAGCTTCCACCTGCTGCTGGTGTATCTAGAATATAACATGTAAAAAAACAAATGCATCCATATTGTTAAAGAGAATGTCGTACCTTAAAACACAAAAGCTAATATTTGCTGTAGTAAGCATTTAGACAAAACAGTCAAAGAGGAACCTTAGGCTTCATCCTCTCATTATATCCTCCATTCTATAGGAAAACAAAAATTATAGAAGATTTTAATTGTGATTATAGATTTGAACTCTGACATTTCTGCAGTCTCATGCCATCAGTGTAAGGGTCCACCTCCAGATAAGATCCCCCAATAGCAACCAAGAATTACCTCTGGAAAATTATTTTAAAATAAATTAGCTAAAACATTAGCTGCTTCATTGGTTTTGGCAGTACATAGCACCTGCCATGGGACCAAGAGACCAACATTGGCACCACAGTAGAGCACTGACATAAACTAATGGACTTGGCATACAAGACACCCAGTAAGACACTGCCCTGCAGAGGTGTTTCCAGACAGATCCAGTTCAGAAGATAATTCTGTGCTCAAAAGTCAGGAACAATTCCTACATGTTTCAGTAGGGGTGAAAATTAGGACCAAAGCTCACCTTGCATTGAAGCACAACAGAAAGGAAGGGATGAGGGTGCTCTTTCATTAAAAAAAAAAAACCAAGAATTACCTCTGGAAAATTATTTTAAAATAAATTAGCTAAAACATTAGCTGCTTCATTGGTTTTGGCAGTACATAGCACCTGCCATGGGACCAAGAGACCAACATTGGCACCACAGTAGAGCACTGACATAAACTAATGGACTTGGCATACAAGACACCCAGTAAGACACTGCCCTGCAGAGGTGTTTCCAGACAGATCCAGTTCAGAAGATAATTCTGTGCTCAAAAGTCAGGAACAATTCCTACATGTTTCAGTAGGGGTGAAAATTAGGACCAAAGCTCACCTTGCATTGAAGCACAACAGAAAGGAAGGGATGAGGGTGCTCTTTCATTAAAAAAAAAAAGCAACATAGTAAGAAAGGAATAGAGAACTTCTGCCAGCAACTTAATTATCTACAGGGGCACAGTAGAAAGTTTAGTACAAGTACAGATCCCTCAGCTATCTAGGAATAAACATTTATGCCATTCTATGTATAGTCAAATCTTTGTAGAGTAAGACACCGTTTGCAGACAAAGCATAGCAGAATATACTGTGGGAAGTGTCACAACAGGTTTCAAAAATTATCTTGACAACACAAGGTTCAAAAAGGTTCCTCATATCTTCCCTGAATTTAGCTTCTGGCATATAGACCTCTAGCTTTACCTGACTAGCTATATACAAGACAATCCATTTCAACCTATTTAATCTGGATACTTATATAATGGATGTCTGTTACCAACTAGTGAAGTTAAAACATGCTAGAACATCAAAGAACACAAGTAGGAAAAAACTTGAAGGGAAAAATATCAGATGCAAAAGAAACAGATCTCTAATGAAAGGAACAGGCAAAGGCTTCATTACTGAATAGGTTTCTTATTTTGCAGTTCTATTAAAATGCAGTTATTTGTGTCTTTACACTCTGATTTCTTTCTGCATAGTGTTTTGGTGTATCACTTGTCATTTCAGACTGCCCAAACTCTTAGTACACATCTCCATTAGTACAAAAATAATATTGAAATTGCCTTAGAATATTTTTTGATACTATAAGCCAAGTAGAAGATCATTTTCTGGCTAAGAATCTTATCCAGAATTTTAAGTTTCCTTCAGAATTATAACACTCTTGAGGCACAATCCCTACCTGCTCTGTTTGGTGTAGTGAAGAGGCAGAATAGCACCATCAGGAAAACACTGGAAAGTACAGATGGTGTGTAGAGATGTCTCCTGCAATTTACAGACTGCAACAACAAAAAGACAACCGATGCCTGTTCACCTCCTGAACACCAGTGGGCCATCAGTTGTGCTTGGCCAGCCTGTAATCCTCCATCTCCACAAGGCTAGGTGGTTTCTTCTACTGCCTATCCTTGAACAAAGTGTCCCTATAGCCCGTGGCCTCTGCTAATTTCTAATTTCCAGTAACATTGAAGTGATTCAGCTAAGCACACTATGGCTCGTCCTGTTTCTAAATGCCAGACCTTAGGGAAACCACGGAGAAAAGCTCCCAGCTTCAAGCCCAGCACTTCCTTACTGACTTTCTACACTCCTTGCACACAGCTGGCTCCTCAGGTGGGCTGAAAGGGCAAGTCTCCTCCTATGTTTGTGAAGAACTTCATCTTTCCTAAACTATTCTTGTCTAAAAACAATGGTAATTTCCTCTAATTAAGAGTAAAGGGGAATTAGCCTCCAGTCAAACACTTCTGAAGAGGACAACAGATTTTTACTTCCTTAAAACATACCAAGAAAAATGAAAGTTGCCATGTCCAATAATAGGATTTTATAGCATTCAGGCTGACCAAGAGAGTAGTCTATTAATATAACTTGTGAGAGTAAAAGTTAGTTTCCTTTGGCATGGTTTCTTTCCCACTGGCTGCTAAGGACACAAAGTACTAAACCAGTGTTTGGCCCCTTGCAGAGAAGCCACAAGGATACTCCACGTGACAGCAGGTATCCAAAGACACAAGCAACTCAAACATTGCCAGTGTTCAAAGACTGCTCACCCTTTTAATTTTTTTTTAAAATCTGTAGTAAAGAGGATTAAGGTGGCACTGCAAGAGATCAGTACTACTTGAGGTTTTTCCTTCTGAAGTTCAGGAGCCATGAAGGCAGCCTTCACACAGACAAAAATCATTTAAAAACTTAGCAGAATAATAAAACCAAATATGAAGCATACTACAATAAATAAATTTGTCTTCATTCCTGTTCATTTCAGTTATGAGTAAAAAGATACATAAACTCAGTGCCGGATTCACTAACAGCCCACTTCATTTAGTGATGTATCACAGCTGCACAGTGTCAACCACGCAGACTCTTTCCTCTCCTAAATTATGTGTGGGCTGCCTTAGGAATATTGGTCAGGACCCATTTTGAACTTTATTTTGCATGTACAATTGTGCTCAAGTGTCATTTCTTCCCATTTTCTTCCCCTACCAATCCCAACAGTAAATTATTTTTTATTTGGATTGTCCCTGCTTTGTGGTTAACACATTTAAACGTACTTCAGAGAAAGAATAATGGAAACCATACCTGCATAGGACACATGAGCCATTGCTGCTAAGAATTATGCACTGCCTGAGCACCATGTAAGCCTTAAAGTAAGGCGTCATTTGCATGGATAGATTTCATCTAACTGAACAACACTTAACTTTTTTAGCAACAAGTAATTTCTCTAATCAAAGTCTTATTGTTCTCTTAATTTTTAGGATAAAAGAAAACTGCAAGAAGAAATTACACAGAAACGTCTAAAAGTAGAAGAGGAAAAAATGAAGCATCAACATTTAAAGGTAAGTGTTGGATTTATGTAACTAAATATAGCCTTAAGTCATTTAGCATGAATAAAAGTTTGGGATTTTGGAATGCAAATCTTCATGCATTTAAGTGGTGCTTTTACTGTCAAATTTTCACAGATTTTGGAGTCTTGCCAGGACTCCTTTTTACTTTAATAACTACCACCCTTTGAAAAAAATTACACTGAGGAGCTAATGTTATGTGATCATTTTCATGGCATAAAATGAGATCATAACTAGGAATAACTCAGAGCTGAAAATGAATCCTTACATTTCCGACTGGGTGTGCTGGCTCCTGAATTCCACTACAGCAACCTCACTTGGTACAGGATGCAGCACAATCATGAGATCTAATGGCACTTTTTTCTGGGGAAAAAAAACCAAACACACCCAGTCTATTTTCATTTGACTATAACCTTTTGTCAGCTCATTTAATAACTTGGGTAAAAAAATAATGTTTCTTTATATACTTTAAAAAGCAGCGTAACTGCTGCAAATACTGTCCTGAAATACAGCCTGGTAAACTCAGGATTACAAGTCCAAATTACTGAGAAACCAAAAGATCCACCTCTGTAGACACTTGCAAGTGTGTTTGTTGATTTCTCCCCAGCATTGCCCTTCTTTCAATGTCTATTGCAATTTGACTGTACATGTCATTTAGGGAGATGAAACAAAATGTATGCTTCTAGACATATGCATGACTTGGTATTTTACATATTCTTTGAATTACACGAGTGGATAAACAGTTTCAAGAAAGTTGTTGAAAGCAATACCAGAAGTATGGCATGTCTCTGAGCAAATATGGGAGAAATATTTAAAACAGACTCCTCTTCAAAATAGACACCTGATCCTCGGTTTCATCCAACTTCTTTTGTTTCAAGCAAAAAAAAAAAAAAAAAAAAAAAAAAAAAAATTAAAATATCCTAGTCCACTGGGCCAGGCAAACAAATGCAAAAGTCACCCATGCTTAGGTTTTATTGGAAGGTAATGACCACAAGAAAAGGCCTGAGCAGATGAGTAATGTCTAGCCTAAAAGAAAGGGGACTAACTTTTCTAAGCCCTGTGACTAATGAGCAGCAAACACGTGACTGTCTTTCTCCAGCTCAGTACACGGTTACACGGAGTGCTGCAATTTGTGTTTCAAGTTTCCATAGCCATAAATTCAGAACGACTCTTTTGCCCTTCTTTTAAGAAGGATAAACTGATCTGTTCTAGACCACCAGCTAATCCTCACTACTGCTGTGTGCAGAGTCCTAAGGCAGTTTCCTTACAGATTTAGTGCATGCCTTCAGCTAATGTTAATAGGTACAGAGTTAAAAAGTTAAGAAAAATCCACTTCATACTTATTCTGAAGATGTTTTATGGGATTTTACAGGAGCTAAAATTCTCCTGGAAAAATCCTACTGGAGTGCTCTTTCTTTGGGAAAGGACAGAAAATTTTTATTTATTTGCCTGTTCTATGAGAAACTGTACAGATATACAGAAAATAATTTAATTTAAAATCAGTCATATCACATATGAGGGAAATCAAAGATCTGTAGAGGAAATAATTCACTTGGAAAAGAAGAATCAAGCATACATTTAAAAATATATATAGGTACAATGTATAAATACATGTAATTAACTATTTGGAGCACAGAAAATGGAGACTACTTCTTCCAACCAAGTAATAAGACAGCCACCTAGTACCAGGTGCAACATTGCTATGTGAACATTCTCTGCTTGATGCCCTGGAAGCCTTGTCCTTTAACAAACGTTTATGCTTCAGACTAAATAAGGTATTTCAATGGAGTCAAGCAACAAAAATCAAATGCAGAGATCATTTTAAAACAGATTTAAACTTCTAAAATAGGTAGATACTTCAATAAAATTCATTGAGTATTTGCCTAGAGTCAGGTTTGTTTCACTCATTTATACTCCTACCAGTTTACATGGTGAAATCTAGAGTCCTGTGACCTATTGAGCATAACTCTCACCTGTCCCTTAGGAAACCATTGCAGGTTAGTAAGTCTCACTGTCATATAGATGCTGCTGTTAGCTGGATATCAGTATCCTGTTCCTTATTTTGTCCTTCATTCCTATTTATAACTCTTAGCTACAGGTTTATTAAAAGGCTGCTTGTTGGGGGGGGGGGCAGGGGGAAGGTTGTTTGGTTTGGTTTTGCTTTCTTGGGGTTTTTTGTTTTGGGGGTTTTTTGTTTGTTTGTTTCAGGGTTTTTATTGTTATTATTTTCATTTTGTAAATAGGACTCTGCTCTGGCTTCCCAATGACTTTATTTGCTGTCCTCAACCAGCTTCTTACTAGAAAGAGACAGATGAGGTATCATAATAGGTCTTAGTTACCCAGTAGAACTATACTGGAGAACAAATATTTATTTCCTAACAAGTGCACCTCTACCACTTGAAGTCAAGGACATGCAAGCAAATACAGACACTTGTATGGAAAAGGCTTCATGGAACTGTAAGCAATAATAGGGGCTACTAGTGAGAACACAGGGGAAATTTTGTTCTCAAGTAATTCTAGATGCTCAACTCATTCCTCCTCCCACCTGGAATCCTTCTCACTAAGGCAAAAAGGGGGAAGGACCAGAGTTGTTTGAAAAGTCTAGTTAACCCTGGTTTGCACATACTTTCCAAGAGCTTTTCTACTTTGGCTTATTAAGTTTTTGGCTTCTAACATGTCTGAGCTCCACTAGTGTTTGTACTTGGTGGTCACACACCTTCTTGTTGCAGGAGTTGTGTTGAACTCCATCTCCTGTGAAAATTACCTCTGCCTTTCCCAGCATGCCATAAAGTGAACTGCCACACTGCCGGGAGAGCAAGACCCACAAACTCAGAACACCAGTGCCTTCTAGCAAAGGCTGGATCTGCCAGTGTTAGCCCAGCCTTGTTAAAGGTTACAGTGGAGTCACACCTGGAGCACACTTAGGACATTATTCACAGAATCTGCAGAATATTGTTACATCAGGAGTACTGTGACAATTAACTACAAAAGAAAGTGATTGCTTACCAGCAATTTGGTCATTCCTAGGGTCTTATCAAATCACAATGTGTAAGTATCCCTTTCCCTTAACATACCAAACATAATGCAAAATGCAAGTGCTTTCATGTCAGTGCTGTAACATGTGCAGAGCCTAGCACTGAGCTAGAGATGCTTTACAGAAGAAAGAAACACTAGACAGCAAAAAGAACCAGCCAGCCCCAGAGCAGCATCTTCTGCACTGGCTTGTGCTGATGCTTCAGTGGAGCAGCCTTGAAACTCTGGTGTTCAAATTCTGGTTCCAAACCACGCAATGTATTTGGTTTTTTTTGAAGTGGCTAATTAAATTTAAAAGGTTATATGGAATTTATTTGGAAGCAGCAGCAAACTATTCTAGGAAAAGGCAAAAACACTATTGTATTATGCCTGTATTTAGGGAGTTTGTTTTCTTTGGCCTAACCCTATCCTATAATAGTATATTACGCTTTTGTTGATTGCAATGGGTGTTATTGGTTTCTGAAGCCTACAGTGCCAGCCCTGCTGTAATTCTCACAAAGAATTACAGATTTACTTTTGAAGACAGCAAAGCTACACTAATTGAGTTCCAGCTAGGATTAAAATCTCACTTTTTTACAATTAAAACCTAAGCAGCTTCAAAGGGAATTAGTAACTGCTCCCTTCAACTTGAAAAATAAAAAAGTATTTTGTGGTCAATAAGAGCTGCAGCAATACCAGACTACATACACCTACCAGATCAGGTAGAAGTATTCTACTAAAATCTGCATTTAATTCATTTGGGCATAAGACAACTGCCAGGAAGTGCTGCCAAGTGATCCTACAGGTAGATTCAAGGCTCAAGACATCAGTCTTGAACAGCTCTTGTTTCCTATAATCCAATGTTCAGAGAGAGAATATTGTCCCACAGGGCTAACAGTATGCATTGGTCTTACATTCCAGGAAAAAAAAAAGTACCATAGAATGTCATAGAATTCCCAGCAAGCCTGTTTCAGTCATGGTTTCTATCACATCATTTATGTCACACATCAAACAAGTTGAAAATTGCATTTAACTGCAATCAGGTCCTACAGCTGATGGAGCTCAGCTGATGGATCCTCCTCCATCAGCTGAGCCTGAGTAATAACCTCATTTAAAGTACAAACAGAAAAGTGTAGGAAGCAACAGACTGAACACACAACAAGCAGGCAGGGATTCCAACAGCTGTTGCAAGTAGCACTGAGTTAATACAGCCTTCTTACTAGTGCTGGGCACAGCTCTACCTCAAAGCAGCAGCAAAATCCAACTTAATCTTCACCACATCCTACAACAAATGAAGACAAATAGGGGGAAAAAAACCAACTAACAGAAATTAGACAGCTCAAGGAATCTAAATTACAAATGGAAAAGTCCTGATTAATTAGAAACCTTGCCTGGGTTGGTGTTCTTCCCCCCCAACTGAAAGAGTTTTTCTAAGGAGTCCTGACTCTCACTTCTTCTCCAAGGCAGCAACTGGATTTCTATTATTGAGTTTGACCACAGGGAGCCTCTAGCCTACAAGTATTAATTTTTTTTTTACACCAGAAATATTTTAGAGAACTCTAATGACTTTCAGATGCCACCTTGTATATTACAAAGCAGCTGTAGGAAGCAATCAGTACATATAGGCATATTTTCCAAAATTTGAAAACACAGCTGATAGAGATCCACTAAGCTGAACACATAATACACCCATTTATATACCACTACTGTACAGAAAGAACTCCACAAGTAGTTAGGTCCTGACTTGTTAAGTATGTTAACCATGGATTGCCCCTACAACAGAAGTTCTAAATACATAGGCCTGCTGAAACACAACCAGAGACCACCAACCCCATGCTCCACCTTTCCAGTCTCACTCTTACCCCACGTATCCTCATCAGATTAAATGCAAGCTCACTGCAAAAGTTACCCAAGTCCCTTGTAAACCCCAGAGATAGCATTCCATCACTTACTTCCTGGGAATCTCTTCCCCCTGTGCAACTGTATTTACCTAAATTTTTCACCTTTTATACCTCCTCCTAGAATTTATGCAATTCTATGAACACAGAAATCAGGACTATAGAAATAAAAGCCTAGTGCCTCTGACTGGGGCCTTGTGCATGAGTCTAATACACATGCTTTGATACAACTGCTTTGCTTTACTGAGGACAAATCTCACTGGAATTGACTTATTAATATTAATCTGTTGCATGTAGCAACTGACATGCTCTTCATATTTGTTAGGTGGACTAGTAAAACGGGACATTGTTCTTTATGAGTTTGGTTTTAAATCAATCTCAAAATATGTGGTTTAGTATTTCTTGTTTTATTTAATATTTCTGTTTCAGTGACACTTGTCACTGTCAGGCTGCCTTGCGCACAAGAATGTGGATCATACATCTGGCAATAATATAAGTAGTGTAAATGATTGGGTAGTTTAACTTTCAAAGGATACTTGTCTGTGTTTTTCCCCATCAGAAAAAAGCTCTGCGAGAAAAATGGCTCTTAGATGGTCTCAGTTCTCTCACTCCAAAGGAGCAAGAAGAAATGCAAAAGCAGAATTGGGAAGACCAACAACGGACTCATGAGCTTGAACAAAATATTTTCAGGTAGGGTACCCCTACCCTTCTGTCTGGGTTAAAATGGTCCCTTCTTAAAAGTTCTACCTTAATTCCTAAAAGATAAAAATGTCAGCAACGGCTAAACAACTGCAGTTTGATACTAGCTGCAGTTAGCCTTTCCCAAAATATCACAGGCCTCTGTACACAAATCAGCTTCTTCCCAGGGTCCAGGCAAACTGGCTGCTACTACCCATTAGCACCCACAGAAAGAATTGTTGCTGTTTCTTTAGATTCTGGAAAGTTGTATCAACCTTTTTTGAGGCTTCTTCCTCTATTTCAGTTCAATAGCATCTTCCTCCCTACTCTCCTCTTCCTCCACTTCTGCACACTTTTGGCAAAGTTGTCACCAAGATTACTTCCTCCAGTTATCTCCTATCCAGGTCCCTCCATACTTCATCTCTCTGACACAAACAGTAATTATCTTGGCTTACAGGCAGCAGCCGAGTGCTAGCTTGTCCTATAATTATGCTGACTTTTTGCTTGAAAGCACTATTCTCAACAGAATACCTTGATCCACACACCTCTGTGGAATTCTTTGTTGCACGGCTACGAGACAGACATTGTGCTCTGAAAACATCCCAGTAGGTTGTGGTTACGAAGACAGGCAAGAGAGGTCCCTATGACAGTGTGACTACCAGGAAAGAGCTGTGCGGGGAAGGACTGCCTCAGGAGCAGCAGGGACCTTGCACTGAGCAAGTAGCTCTCCACCAACCCACTGGAAATGTAGCTAGCCTCTCTCCAAGCACTGAGAGGATAGACTGGATTTTCAAAGTCCTGCTGACTTCAAATAAGACCTGGAGGTTTAGCTGAGATCTTCTTGATACACTAGGATCCTAGTTTATTTATTTTTAAGTGTCAGAACCAAGTAAAAAACTGGATTTGATGTGTGGCAATACTGAGGGAAGGATGTTTTTATTCTCCTGACAAACTACATCTGTATTGTTTTCAATTAATTAAATAACACCCAAGTAAAGAACAAGTAATGCTATAATAGTGGAGGTCTGTGAATGCTTATGCCACTAAAAGGGAAAGGTACTGAAATCCTGATATACTGATTGCCTAAAAAAAAAGATTGAAATATTTCAGTAGGAAGTGTACTGTATCTCCAGCATCTAAATCTAGTCTGTCATGATAATGCAACTTTAGGATTCTCTGCATCTGAGTTGTTGTCATTGCATTATCCTACAGCAACATTAGCAACCAGGTCCCTCCTGGGAAAACTTTGATTTCAGTGTTAGGACTTAAAAATCTTCCTACAACTCCAGTTTAGAGATCTCAACAAATAGGGCTGATTATTCACATAGGAAAGATCATTTTCACATCTCGCAAAATCCTGGGTTTGTTACTACAGCTGTAGAGTCTTTTGATACTGTTTTTTGTAATTATTCTCCTGAATTTGTCATCAGCTCTGCGACCTTAAGTTTTATTTCATCAGATACCAAAACTGAACACTCAGTGAAATTTATTTCTCTGAACATAACCATATAAATGTTGGGGTTTAGCATGACTAGAATTTATTGCTATTACAAGTAGTAAAACAATAATCCAACTGGAGCTTCAAACATGAAAAATTCCTTTTATTCATGTAGGTAAATCATCATCACAAAGGAATATTCCCTCTACTTTAATTCCAGATTGGGTCCAAAAGTTAACAAGGGGTTATAAATTTTAACATTCATTTGAATTAGAAGCTTCTGGGTCTTTTAAAAGATGCCCATAGCCATTTTAAGGAAGATTTTAAAGTGCATTAGTGCTTTAAGGAAAGAGAAATGAAAGTGCCAAACCCATCATTTTTTGCTGATTAGTTTCTTAAATTACAAAGTGGATCTTGGAGCAACATCTCAGCTCATCTCTACTTCTTGATAACTACAAGGACTAGATGCAGATACTCTCTGAACAGGAACCCTACTCGCTTGGTGCTGCATCGCACGATCCCAGCACACACTTTATTCCCAACAAGGGGGAGGTTCCTCAGCTCATACACTTGACATATGCCTGAGCTGTAACAGCCTAACTATAGATATGTGCCTGCTACCTTCACACTGGAATTTTTGCCAGAGACTTGGTTAACATTCAGCATGTACAAATAAACTCAACATTTTAGAATTCCTTTCCCATGCAGGCAGGATGCCAGGTTTGTTTTGCTGTGTTGTTCAGTTGGGTTTCATTTTTTTAAATTATTTTTTTAGTAGTTTCTATCTATATGTCTACATCTAGGATAAATATATTAAGTATGTTTATATTTTTCCTACACAGTTTCAGATTCAGGTAATTAAAAGTAATATTTGTATGTCCAGATAGCTTATAGGTTGACCAGAAATTAAAATACTGATGAAAAGTAGTTTTTTTTCAACTGTAAATGCTACAGTGGAAAAAAAATATGCAATACAATTTTTATTGTAGTTCCTGGCCTTTCTTACTAAAAATATTGTATTTTTTCCAAGAATATAAGGCTATTTGTTTTACTACACTTGCTTAAGAAAACATGGCTCCTCTTATTTTTTTGTATATGCTGCTCTTTCAAGGCAATTGATTTTTTTTCATGGTGAACTAAATATTTCCACAGCCATTTGTTCTAAACAGTGTTATCAACTAACTTTTCTTGCCCATGACCTCCTGGGAAGCTTCATCAAATTTCTTTCTCCATAAAATGATGCCTACTTCTTGACATACATGTCAAATACTTTAGATTCATTTGTAGTCAAATGAATCAGACTAATTACATCAGCATAAAGTGAAAATATTAACTGACAAAGAATGCATAACACAATGACATGCTGTGTTCACTCTTAGAATAACTTCACATGTATAATGCATCCTAGAAATTATATTATAATCAATTCAGAAATGCTCTTAATTATATTCCTGAGCCACTGTGAATTAAGAGGACTTAATTCACCATTGCTGAAGTTCTAAAGACAATTTAGAGGCTTGTAAGGCCTTGATATCAAAACAAATATTTTCATTACTGATATACTTACTCTCACAAACAACCTAAACACCTTAGGGTCTTTGGCAGCTTTTATCTTTACAATACACAGAGGACTCTGACAAGGGCATTTGATTTTACGATGGAGAATGCAGGCAGAACATACCTGCAGCCACTTGGGAACTTCTCTCTGAACTAGAAAGTTAAGCAAGTTCTTTCACATCAAGCATCTTTTGCTGTAAATTATACTTCCTACCACTCCTGAGCAGCTGTCTAGCAAAGGCCTTTACCAGCTCAGTTTCAAACCAGCAGCAATAGTGTAGTCTCATAATACAGAGGTCAGTATCAACAAAGTCCACTAATAGCTCAAAACACCATCCAGGACTTGCTCAGTGCTTCTGCTATGCCATAGGGAGCACACAATCTAACAAAAGCTTACTTGACCACATGTGTATGAAGTCATACTTTTGACCTGTCCTGTAAACCAGATTGCTAAACTGATCGTGTAGATATGTTATGCTGTAGCAGTGAGAGATAATAGTGAGAAGCTCAGTAGAGTTTTTTCTTCTTGGCATCTGATTATTAAACTTCTGATTAAAATAGATTCTGTCCACTTCGGTGATTATTCTGCATGGGGTTTTATCTTCAGCTAAAAAATATGACTCACTTAAAATAATTTTGAATACCCTAATACCAGTCTTTTTTTCTTTCTGGTGAGAACAATTGCAATTGTAGGCAGATTATTTACAGCAGTGGCATGGGCCTTTCTGTCACCCTGCTAAATGGGACCTCTGTTTTGAAACATTCTTTACTTGGGTGTTGAAAAGAGCTAGTGTGTGCCAGCAAATCAGTCAGGATTTGAATATTTTGTTACAAACAGGAGAGATCCGTTCTTTGTATCAAGAACACCGTATTGAATAGCGAGTGGCCTGAATCAGTTTGCAGATTAATAGCTGAATGCTCTGGTTACAGACAAAACCAGTATTTACTTTACCTGTCCTATTCACCTTCTTTACATGTTAGAAGTTACAGGAGTAACAGGGTACAAGTTGAATACAGAATCAGGAGTCCTATTTTCTAATTTTCAGCAAATAGCACTCATTCTTGATGGAACTAGTTGCTAAACAACACAGTTAACTAAGGTCTATTTAATGGTTTGTAATGTGATACATAAAGGCAGGCTAAGGCTAGATAAACTACAGAGCTGCTAAAGCATTTGACTCACCTCAAAACATGTGAGGACTTGCTAAACTGCCTTTTCCTCTCAGTCCAGTATTCTCTAGGGTGTTATCTTCATATCTGCTTTTCATGCTTAAGACATTTATACTTCTTCTGAAGTGTCAGTGGTGTGAATCCCAGCAGATTAGCTAGCGGCCAGTAGCTGTCAGGTAAACTCTTAATTTTAATAAGCATTTCTTAATTTAGCTACTCCTTTGGCAGAGTAACCTCTTATCTACTACCTCCACTTCTACGGTGTCTTCTTTCATCCACATCTCCCTATTACTTATTTTCCCCTAACAACAAACAGTAATCAAGGAGAAAGAGACATACCTGAGGAATTTAATACAGTAGCTACGCTACACTTCCATTTCTGTGTAAAGCACAGCAGCACTGTTGAAAGGTAATGTAGCTGCTAGACCCTTTCAAAACAAATACAAACTGATGTAATTTCATAATAGTATCATTGATTTAGAAGTTTCTAAAGATTTAAACACACCAGCAAGATTTTGGTCTAACTTTTCAACTGCACAAAGTCAGAAGATCTCTGATTTCTTTGAACTAGTAGATTGCATCCTCTGAAAATTCTCTTTCAACAAACTCCACTGTACACACTCACCACACCATCTGAAAATGAACCATAAAATCTATGTTTATGTGTGAATAGAAGCACAAGACAGAAACTGAAGGTGTAGATACAAATCCCATTACATTGGTATGAGAATTTTTCCCTAAACCCACTGAGCAGTGAATCATCACTCCTCTAATTACCTTATAAAGTGTGTGTCTGGATGAGTGTGAGAGCATATATAAACTTAAACACTATCTTGATCTCCCAGATAACTATATGAGGTTTGTCATCTTTGATTTATTTGGGGTTGTGTTTTCTCTCTCAAAAACACCACCCCCCTTTTTTTTATACCTTTCCAGGATTTTTCATCCTCTTCTTCTACCTGTGTGTTTAGGAGTGTTTAAAGTCCACACTGAAATAAATCCATAGTAAAGGTTAATGATTCTTCAGATCATCATGCTTCTGTGAGCTTTTAATGATTAATTTTCACATTATGATAATACTGCAATCAAGTCTCATGTAAAAAAACCAACATTTCAATATATGAAACAAATACTATTCTGTAAGAAGTGCAGAAATATGGCACATGGTCATTACGTTTCTTTTATAGCCCTCCAGAAATATTCATCACCCTTGTTATGAAATTTTTAAATTTTAGCACTATAAACAGTACCTTTGATCAGGTTCCTAAGGGCATCTTGCAGATCTCAGGTCCAAAGTGTTAACTGCTTTTTAATATTTAATTTTTTTTTTAGTTTTTACTTTCATCTTGAATGCATATTTCTTCATATTTCAGTTCTGAAACCTGTAATACCTTCGTGTTTCAAAGAAGAGGATATTCTCACTAACAGACAGAAGTTCATGTATTATCCTCTTATTGTAGCTCTGCAAATCTGAGTTTAAATAGGCCATTATCCACAATGTTATTCAGACTCCTCAAGCAGACACAGGAGCAGATAAACAATGCTTCTCTGCCAGTTTGCATTCAACGTTTCTGCTCTGCTTACTTTAAAGGGAGAACAGGTTTCTATCTTTGATGTTTACTTTAGTGCAATATTGTGGATCCAAGGACACACTAAAGAATAAGATAAAATGTAAAACAGTTGGTGTTTTTCTTTTTTCTATCAGTATTAAAAACCATCATTACTGCCTTTGAAACCTTGGCTCAGATCATTCAGTTGTAACTATTCTAACTGATCTCTGCAATTACTGATATCAGTTGCAGGTCTATAGTAAATTTCAGACATGGATTCAAAAACAATGGAAGACATATTTCACTCAAATAGGAAATGTCTTTAACTTTGCTTTTGTTCTTCCCTTTAAGTTAAAAGAAGTTCTTCCAAAAACTGTCCCAAAAAGAAAACATAAATGAACCAGGAGACTGAAATTAGAAGTCACCCACCTACAGCATGAGAAATCCAGTTCAGAGTTAAATTTAGACTTGATTCTAGATTTTAATGGAAAAGTGACTTGCCTTATTGGCCTAGTAGTTGCCAAGTTTCTATACCAACCCCAGCAAATATATGCAAGTGCAGAAAGGAACAGTCTTTACTAAAAAGTCAAAATAGGATCCAGTCACTTGTACTTAAGTCACTGCTTTAGTCACCACAGAACAGAATTTAATGGAGATATTTTACCTTCAAAATGTGCTTCAACTGTGCATAGCTTTCTCCCTCTCCCATATGCATAGAGATTAAATATTTTATCCTGGACCCTTCTGTATAGAAGTGTTTTCTCGAGCATCTTAGCACTATGAAAAAAAATTCTAATTAGGAAAAAGGTGTCTTAAACATTGTACTCAGTTTTAACATGCAAAAAAACCAAGAAATAGATCTAAAACATAATACAAACAGGAGGTGAAAGTAGCTGTGACCCCTTTTAAATAATAGACAAATCTACTGCAGAAGTCCATAGCCCAAATTATTTTATTAAGCTTCAATCTCTTTTACATAACAATTAAGGGGTTTTAAGAAAATATTTAGTCCATCAGCCAAATCCTAACTGACAAGATACTCCCAGTTTGCACAGCTAAAATCTGCAGAGATAAGTAAATGACTTAATATCCTGTTTCTTAGATATTATTCTTAGAGAACATCCAAAGATAGTATAGTTAGTAGTCATAGAGGCAGGCTTGTAGTCTTCGTTTTACAAAAGTTCTGGCTGACTAGACCTGGGCACAATCAAAGCTTTTCCTCTAATAAATAGACCTTTAAAATTGATTCTTAGTGTTGAAAATCTCATCTAATTGCAATCTTAAAGCAATTGCTATTAGCACCTGATGTGACATGTATCACATTTACATGAACTTGCTGGTTTTCTCTTGCAAATTCCTTGGCAATACTTTTGAGGATATTACTTGAGGAAACACTGCAAACATTTACCTTCCCAGCTGCTTATCCTAGTCTTACATGGCTGCTGCTCTGCTGAAAAGGAATACTTTCCCAGAAACAAGACTTCAACGCTTTTCCCAGACAATTAAGTAAACAAAATGCCAGGGAGTGACTAAGGACTTGTTTGTCTATAAAAGCCTTAGTATATCACCACAAAGAGGAGTCCTGAAAACCTGCTAGAATTTTAAGTCTAACTGCACAAGTTCTGGCCTAGTCTATCAGCAATACTAAAATAGCACCCACCCCACATCAGCAATATCTTGCATTTTTAATCCAGATTTTTTTCCCAAGAAGAATCAAGCTTCTGGCTATCAGTCAAGCACCTATTTTACCAAAGAAAAGAATTTTGAAGTCCCAGAACCCATAAAGCCATAGTCTGTCTTGGCATGTTGGAGCTGAGCACACACAAGCATGTCCCCTCAGAAAGCTCCTTGATCACCCACAAACCAGTAGTTCATAGTATTTTCCTGATGCATGTGAAATTATCAACTGATCTCATATTAGAGCAGACTAAGCATAACCAGCCCCACCAATGTCCATGTTCACAACGTATTGAATCTACAGTGTTGCTCTCTGCCTCGTATTAAATCAAAGGGAATTGTGATTACAGACTGGAGAAGGAAATTGAGGCTCTGGAAAAAGAGGAAATGGAAGTCTCAGCTAAGGAAGAAGCAATTTTAAAGAAACTTAAGTCTGTTGAGAAAACGACAGAAGACATAATAAAGGTCAGTGCCAAATTACTCCAGAAGATGAATTAATTACTTATTTATCATAATAACCATGGAAAGGTGAACTAGTGGTCATGAGCTTTTGTCTAAAGTGACAGTAGTTCAAATACAAGGTGTTGAGATGTTATACTGTTCAAGTGCCCAGATATCTCCATTTGCTTGCTTATTGGGTGTGCAGGAGCAATTCCCATAATTACTCAGCTATAGCACATATATATGAAAAAACAAAAAACAACCAATCAACCAACAAACTGTCACCAACCAGCAACTTCACATCTTGGCCAGAGACAGACATAACAGAGCAAGTGCAGAGCCTGGCATATTCATACTCCTTCACATGGATGTGCCCAGCTAGACACCTTCGTGCTTCTCCCCCAAGTCCTTGAGAGAGATCATAGTGAAACATGACTAAATATTATCAGTCTTGGCCAAAAGGTCATTTTGGTATCTGAAAATAATCTTAAAACATCTAAAAAATGTAGTGATGAAGCTAAATTTCAGTTCTATTGTTCTTACACACATGGTCTCCCTAAAGATACACAGGAAGATAAGCACAAATGAAAAGCCAAAGAAAAACCCTTGAAAAAAATCTGAAGCCAACTGGGTTGAGCCACAGTGTGAAGCCATGTCACTGATTAACACCCTGTAACATCACTTACTTCCCTGTGTGACTTCAAACCATATTGGCAAATAAAACAGAAAAATTTCGCTTTCTCCTTTGCCATGTTCCAACTGAGCAGGTTCCACTTTTAGCCCCTCAGTACGAAGCTGCACACACAAAAACTTAAAACTATCATGTAAAGCAAAGCAAAACATTGTCTTAAAACTGACTAATCACATTTATTGTCAATGGTTCTCTTCCCTAGTCTGTGAAGACTGAAAAAGCAGCAGTTGAAAAAGGTATGTTTAGTCAAAAAACTACTTTTAAAAAGGTTCTTGGAGAAGCTAGCAAAAACACACTAAATGCTTTGTGGATCTTCCTTATGCAGAGGCAGCAGACTACATCTACACCAGCATACCTGACCTTCCCAAGCATTTCAGGCCTTCTGCACTGAAAAGTGCAGCACATGCTGCCAATGATGACGAAGAAAAGAGAAAAGGTACTGCTGATTAGTAACTCCAAAGGGTGTTGATATGTGCAAAGACTTCCTATAAATTGAATCAAATAGACTTTAAGGGAAGGATAAACACAAACAGGCAACAATGTCCTTCTCACTTAAGTTGTGTTATGTTAACAGTGAGGTCATCAAAACTGTTAGGTAGGATGCTGGTGCAAGAATAAGATAAAGTGAAAGTAAGATCAAGTGTTTTTAACATCAATACTTCTTTCCACCACTTTGTTACTCTACCTGGCATAACTTAAGTATATCTTCCCTTCATATCACACATTTTACATTTTCTATCCACATTTTCACCAACAGGGAAGCCAGCAGTAGTCTGATTATTTCTCAACTACTGCAAAGCCTCTTAACCCTTCTGAGTGCCAAAGACTTGTAGCAGATTGAGCTCTCTCTACTTTGCCCAGCACAACACCAGGGGCCAAGTTTAAATCTGACTTTCTCAATCGCATAACAAAACCTGGCTTGTCAACACCTTCTAGTTTCTTTCTCCTCAAAGAATTAAATCCAAGCAAAAAAATTTCTGCCATTTCAGTTTTGACAGGATGGAAAGGACATTCAAAATGAGAATCCAACATACTGATTATATACATGACAATTTCACATATTTAATAATTTACGACAGTCATTCCGTATCAGAGTCAGAATTATTCTATATTTCTTTCAGCTGCTGCATTATCAGTTTAAGCACTTGTCTCTTTCAACAGCATTATTTGCCATGGAAATTAAAGTTGAAAAAGACATGAAGACAGGAGAAAACACAGTGTTATCAACAATACCTCTTCCCTCAAAGGAGTTTAAAGAGACAGGAATTAAAGTCTATGACGACGGCAGGAAGTCAGTCTATGCAGTATCCTCAAATGGCAGCACAACACAAAATGGAATGGATGAACTTGCTCCTGTTGAGGTGGAGGACCTGCTACGGCAGGCTACTGAAAAAAATTCCCAGTCTCCCACAGAGTATCATGAGCCTGTGTTTGCAAACAAATTTTGTAGACCAGTTACTCCTCAGAAAGACAAACTAGTCCCTGGACCAATATTGGAAGACACTCAAAGAAGAGAGATGAATGGATTTAGCAATCATCAGGCAGAGTTCTCCTCCAAAGCAGAGCCCTCAATGCAGCAACTTAAAGAGAATGGGCTCAATCTTCCAAAGGTAATACAGCCAAAGTCTCCTTCTCCAGTACTTTCCCATTCAGATAAGAAAGTACACACTAATCCTGAGAACAGGATGATATATAACAATGAAAGAAAAGCTGCACATGAGGAATTAAAACCATACCAGAACACAAAAGAAAGATGTAATGAGACAAAATTTTTAAATCCCTCCCATCTTAATGAAACATCCACTGCATCTCAAAATGAGAAAGATGCTCAGTACAACATCGTCCAAGCTGTACCATGTTACGTGGATGACTCTGAACCAGTAACGATGATTTTCATGGGTTATCAGCGCGTTGATGATGATGATGCAGAAGCAGACCAGAAGTTGTCACAATATGATGGGATTATCCGTGCAGAATTAGTTATCATTGATGATGATGATGAAGATGACAGCAAATCTGAGAAACCAGCATATCATCCTATAGGCCATTATAGTCAGGTTTATCAGCCACCAAGCAGAAAAATTACAGAAGTCCCACAAACAAACCCTGTGAGCAGTCTGGGTACAAGCCTGAACAAGGTGCCCCACAAAAATTCTATCTCCCTGCAAGAACAAGAGGAATGTTTAAGCTCACCAACACCCCGTGCTCATCTTCACAGCCAGCTATCTGGAGATGGTACCGAAGATCCCTCACTAACAGGTAATAGAAAAGGAAAATCATGTCAATGCTGTTTGCTTATGTAGGAAACTGATACTACTCTGACATGCTATCAACTGCTTCACTTAACTATTTGTATTGTTTCATGGATTAACATGCAATTACTAATAATTTCTTTGCTTGTTTGTTAACAAATGCCAATCAGCATTTTGGTACTGTCGAATTATTTCATCTTTAGCAATGCATTGGTTACGTCATCTCAGAAAAGCCATTTCTGTAACACTCAAAGATTAAAAGTAGTTCTCTTTCAAGTGACAATTAAAAGTTCCAATGATGCTACCTCAATTATCAGAATTAGTTCTTAATTTCTACCAGGTAACTAACAGCATTGCTTCTTAACACTGTCTCCTCACTGGAATGTTTTTGTGTCTATCTGCATTCTAACTACTTCCTAGATAATCCAAACTGCTTCTTGAATCAGAAAGACTGTTTAATAACCAGCTTTACTTTGTATTTTGCTGTTATCAGCATTGTAAACCTTGCCATCGGCAATGTTTCTGTAAGTTTTAACATTGTGTTGTTAACCTGAGTTAGATGTTTTTATACTCTCTGAAAGACAGCAAAAACTTTTTTCATCACTACATGTTGTTAGCTCATATAGTCTGTAGTGTTATTTTTTTAACTTCTTTTATTTTCTAATAATATTCAAGGTGTCTATTTCTTACTATAAAGTTCTATAATAAAAGGTTGAAAGAATAGCCAAAGGTCCCAAGAACATGGAAAGCTCTTTTTTATGATTATGTTGCACTTTAACACATACAATTCAACTACATTTAAGTATATCTACAGAACAGCAGATTCCAGACTAGTCACATGCGACTTCAAGGAAAGAACACTGTGTTTGAATTATAAGATTGAATTATAAGAGCTGATGAGTAAGAAATGCTCTCAGTTTATAGGAGCATCAGTCTTGTGCAGTAACGCGCACAACAGCCCAAAATATTCCAGCAGTGCAGAACCTTTGCTTCTCTTGAGCACTTATCCTTCCGTCTATGCACTCCCCTGTGTCCTCCAGGACCAAAGGTTGCTGCCAGCAACTTTTTCTCCATCAACTGAAAGCAGAAGTAGCTGGTACAAGCAAGATAAATCACTTCAGTCACTGCTCCAGCCCATTATATTTTGGGGATAATCCCTTCATTTCCCCATTGCATATATATAGGCACATAACAGAAAAGCACTGCTCAGCCACCCACCCACCATCTGGTTGCTACTGAAGCAATTTGTCCTACAGCTCATTGTGTGGGTGCTCCTAAGCAATTTCCAAGAGGTAATTATGAGCTGGAAGTACCATTGGAGTAGGCCATATACATGCCATGAGATAACTGAGCACCTCTGTTTGTAACAAGCTTTGTTTATCTTAGTCTGAAAGAAGCATCTGAAACTTCATTTTTCCCTGCCACTCATAGACACTCTTGAAACCATCTGGGCTCTCTTTTGAAAATCAAACACTGACTTTCAGGGATGAAGGAAAAGTATAAATCTAGTGAAAACATTTGAGAATCTGTTCTGTTATTCTGTATTTGGTTTTACCCATTTACTTACAAGTATTCTACCAAGGACAAAGCAGCCAATTAAGAAAAAAAAAAAACTGGTCCTGATTAAAAGTAGTTTGGCAACTGCCTCAGAAATACACCCCAATGGTCAGCACTGCCTTCGAGTGTCTTAAGTGTCCAGTAGAATCTGTAACTAATGCGTATTCCTCTTTACCCCTCCACCTATTCATTGCCACTCCCTGCGACATTTTGATCAGAGAAAAAGCCAGGAAGTGACTCAGTTTTCCCCAAGCAGTCCTGTAGTCCTACTGCAATTTCTAAAAAGGAAACAAAACCAGGAAAGCCTCTTAGAACTAGAACAATGTATTACACAGAACTATTTCTTAGGGAAATAAACTGTTTTCAAAGCAGCCACTGACATCCAGCCTAGCAGGTTCAACCAAAACACCACCAGGGAAAAGAGGGGAGTTCAAGTTATTTTTGGTACCTCACCACTCTACTAAAGCAACAAACTGTGCAATAGAAAAAATAATCCTCTGAAATGAAAGATTTGGGAGGCAACCGCAGTATCTGAACACTAAGCAGACAGAGGACTTTCTGAAAGAGAATAGAAAATGAGGAAACACAGGGCAGACCAGGGAGACAGTCCTTCTGTAATAATCTTGCTTTGGGAAAACAATGAACCTTCAGAGCAAGGTACTGAAAAAGTTAGTGATGGCCAAGGACAACTAGAAGGCCAAGGAATTGTTCCATGTGCCAATCTATATAGAAAAATATCACATTACATTAGGAGCTTTCAGCATACCCCTAAACTGACAAATGTAGGACATACCTCTTCCTTCTTTCCCTTCCCCATGAGTTGTTTTGGTGTTGGTTTTTTTTTGGGGGGGAGGTGGGATACAGGGCAATATCTCAAAGTATGTTCCCCTCAGAAAAAAACATACAGAAAGATGACAATATTATAATTAAGACATCAATGTTCTGCATTATTAGAGCTTATTTTCTTCTTCAAGTTTTAGTTAAATTAATTTGTGTGCAAATGTTTTGAAGATTCAATACTCATTAGGGAAATAAGAAGTCCTTGGGGGGAGAACAAAGGCTAGACATAGTGGAATGAATAGGAAAGGAAACACTGAAAATGAATAGGCAGTAAAACATACTGACAGTGTGAAACAAGCTGTCCTGGGACATGAAGGTCCAAGCCTTTTAGCAGATAGTCTTTTTTCCTTGCCACTAGAAGCTGTGTGACTGTCAAAAAAACACATCAGAAACTTTGCTCCATTTGCATTGAAGAAACATGCAAAACTTCTAAATAGAGGAAGATTCATACACACCATCTGTTTTTGTAATGCATAGAGTAAAATGAAAATGGCCTATTAGCTAAAAGTTAGGCATCAGAGTGACTGCTCTTTCAAAGCACAACCAGGACTCAAATCCTTCAAAATTCCTTGGTCTGCAAGCAGTACACAAGGTCTTTGTAAGAGCTAAGCTTAATGTCAGTGACCCTATAGGGTTACACACAGATGCTTCTGATTCCCAACAACTTCAGCATCCAAAACATGATTCAAGTTGGACATTTGCTGACATGCATAAATCAAGTAAACAGCTGCTTTGACCCCCTGTCTCTCAGTACAGAGACATATGCAGGATGAAGGAATGAAAAGGCTATTTTGGGTGACTCTTCAAACTAACAGGTCAGAGTGCTTGAGATTATTCCCACTGCATTCTCAGATCAACTACATAGTGGGGAGAGACTCTTACATATCAAACAGCATTATAATGCTGTTCTAAAAATAACCTTAACATTTAATCATCTGCCCTGCACTGTCACTTCCAAGCTAACCCATGTTACACTGTTACAGACAATAGCCATACTGATGGTTATACAGATACTGTTACTCTGTCAGACTTAAAACAGGAATATGACTAACTCCCACTCTGACTCACTACACCAGGAAGAGAGGAAAGTTTTCTGTGAACATCAATACAAACTAAAAAGGCTTTCAAACAGTTATAGCTCTTACTGAGGAGTTTAGCTTAAACAAAGGGTTTAATTATTCGTGCATCCTTTTATCCTGTCAGCATCTAGTCAGGGACAATGCCATCTCTGCAATGCCTTAGTAAATGAAGATAACAAGAATCAGAAAATAATTGTGCCAATTTTCAGATAGTGATAATAGAGTAATTTTTTAATAAACTTGCTTTATTGCAAAATTTCCTGGACTAATGCCTTATACTGATTTCTTTCTCTAACACGCAAAATATGCTTATTCTGCTGGATTAACCACTGGAGGTATGTGCATCCTTCGTTTTTCTAAATAAGGAGATATAATACTAGAAATAGAAAATTAGTCTAAAATGCAATGGCTTTGTTTGTTTTCTTTTTTCAGCTCTGAGGATGAGAATGGCAAAGCTGGGAAAAAAGGTGATTTAACAAGTGTAATGACATGGAAGTAAAAATTACTACTCAAAGCAGAGTAAAGCTAAGAAGAGTTTCTTCAACACACCTTTTTTGGATCATAATGCTTGTTTTGCTCCTGTTTTATGCACCTGGGTTATTTTTCCCTCTGCATAATCCAATGGATTTTAACAGACTTACAGATTTGACCAACTGCCACATACACACACATCACATCCTGGATTTTGCTGAAGTAGTGGAAAGTTACCTAAGACCTTAAGTGCAGTGTACATATCCAAATATGAAGACATGTGCATACCTGTTCCTACAATCAGGAATCTGTTGTTGCTATGTACACAGAGCAGACAAACATCCATCTCCATGGAACTTCTCAGGACATTGTTCCACTTCAAAGTGTGCCAATCTACTTGATTTTGATTGAAAATGGTGTCCCAGCTTTTTTTTTTTTTAAAGCATTTGTTAATAAAAAACTAAACATGAGAGACAGGAGCAGGGGAAAAAAATATATATATTTAACCTTTTTTCCAAGCTTGACACTTTGGCCAAAATTTAAAGCATTCCTTTTTAAGTGACAGGAAAACAAATATAGCAAAGTCAGCATTTGAACATTTCGCTACCTTCAAGAGCTCCACAGTCCTTTCTGTATTATGTATGACAGTGTAGCCATCCCAAGAACCTTCTCCCTTCCCCATACATTCTGCCCACCCACAATCTCATAGATAATCCTGTGTGTAACACTATAAACAGCCAGATCTCCATAGCATAGTTTCACTTCCTAGCTAGCTACAGAAGGCTCTGCTTTTCCAAGGAACTTCTTGCCAGAGGCAGTGCCTGCACCTAAAAAGAAAAAATTAAAAAAAATACTACTTAGTATCCAGGTTTCAGTTGGTTGGGGAAGGTAAAATTAGTGCAAGCCTCCCATGAGAAACACTGAGCTGCCAATGACTTTTCCTGCAGCTGCAGCAGAAGGTCTTTTATAGGTGCAGCCACTGCTAGCCACAGCTCTCCAGCAAGGTCCAGGGCTCCCACCAAGGAACAGGTTAATTCTTTCCACATAAGGGAAGAGCTTAGGGCCCTAAAAACAGCCATTAAGGACAATTACACCTAGAAAAATATGTGCAAGTCAGGTTTTTCCAGTACACTATTTCTTGGGGGAGGAAAAGTGCCTCATAGCACTACAATCTCATTCAAATCAGTATGATAGCTTTATGTTCCTAGGTCTTAGCCTGCTTTGAATCACTAAACAGATAAAGCTGAGGTTGTGTTATTCTAGTATAGTTGACTCAAATTATGCACCAGCAAAAAACCAGCCATGACTTTTTTGCTGATCTTCCTTGTTTTAAAGCAGGAAACTGAAGCTACTACCTCATACTGAGGCACAATGGTAGTAATCAGCTGACTTGTAGCCTCTAGATACTTGGTGGCTCCCAGTCTGAAGTGGGTAATAATCTCAAATTCTAGGACTTGTCAGAGATGGTTACCTATAGAATGCAATAGTAGATAACAAATAAATTTAACTGTATTACACTTTTTCTATGTCTATCCTGTTTGGTTTTTTTTGTTTGGTTAGGTGTTTTTTATAACAGTGCTAGTTCTTTTCCTTCTGTTTCTGCTAGTATTTATTGGTTCTGACAGCAAAGGGAGTTACCCTTAACTCTTTTTCGCATCTTCTCAAAAGTTCTTAACAGGGTACACCAAAGAGTAAGATAGCAGTAAAGTGCTCTAATGTAGTCACAAGCAGGTTTTGTAATATCAGCAGATTGTTATAAAAACCTCATTCCCTGCCTTCCCCAATGATCTGTGCTATTAAGCTTAAATTATCTGGAAAAGGGGGGAAAAAATGCTGCTGCAAACATGTTACTAGTGAGTGCAGTTTAAAAGAACAGAGGCCGAAGAGAGACTTCACAATAATAAATGTGTTGTAGAACTAGAGATGAAATTGACAATGAATATATGAAAAGTAATATAGAAAAAGAAATAACCCTTAAATTGGCATTATGAACCTCTTGGCTAGGAAGCAGAACACTTTGGCATAATTTGAGCCCTTTGAAAGTAGCAACTCCATGATCAGAAGCCATGAAGATGAAGAGAGCATTAAGACTCATCATAGAAAACAAATCATAAAACAACTGTGCCATAGGTCTTCATATTTACAACTGGAGCAGAGTTTGGACAACCCACTTCTGAGGAGGCTAAAAAGGGTAACGAAGAGTATCAGAAGTGTGAAATAGTTAAATGCAGCAGCAGTCATAGAGGAGAAAGACAGTAAGACCCAAGATGCCTACAGAACCAAGATAAAGGCAGGAAGGCAAACAAAACACAGATCATTAAACAAGAAGCAGGCTTAAAACAAAAACAAGAAGCCCTTTCTCATAATAACTAAATGGTAAGGCAAGAGCATCAACATACATGGTGTTTTCTGGTAGTAATTCATTGCACACTTTGTAGATAAAATCCATTCACTACAGAAGTTCATGGTCAAGCTACAGTTTCTATCTTAGGACATCCTAGAGCACAGATTCTAGCAAGTGGCAAGGAGTTCTTGTCAGGGGAAAGAAAATACCACTGCAATCTTGTTACATCTTTCTCTAAACACATTACTACTGTTTCTGGAAACAATACTGGACTCAATAGATCTCTGCTTTGCCATGTGGCAACTCCTATGTCAGATATAAAAGCTCTTGTTTGTCCCACATTAACACACTAGCTACATAGTGCCATGGATATCACATCATTAATTTGGAGGAACTGAGACACAAAATGGAGCTTTCAAGAGTCGTGTGTTTCAGGGAAGCAGGGATGTTCGTCAAACAAGTGCTGCAGCCTTAGATCTTCCCCATATTAGCACAAATATAATTACAAGGCAAATTAGGTCAGTACAGATGCCATGCAAAATTCCAATTCATCATTGAAATAAAACAATTTCTAAGGTCCAGCATAACAAAAGCCTCTCTGAAACAAATGCAAATCCTGAGTCTATCTTAGTGCAGTATCATTTTTGCAGGATAACTATCATAGATCCTCATTCAGTGTGACACAGATATTCAGCTTTTGTGGTTTGCAATATGTAAAGTCACTTTTGCATAACACAAGGAAGACCTGCAAAAACTATACAGTGTTTGAATATGAACTACAACATGTGGTGCCAAGCACGTTGTGAAGCTCTGTGCCAATTTTGCCATGCCACTCCCTCAGGTAAGTGAATGCAACAGCTTTCCCATTCACATAAACCCCTTAAGAGAAGTAGGGACCAGGCTGATGTAAGCATAGGATTTCTTAGAACTGCTAGCAGATCATCCTTCTTAACCATCCATCTATACACTTGGAGTCTCTTAGGTCAATCTACACTGAAAATCTAAAATCAATTTTATACTAACTTCTGCATTGAAATGCAGAATGTACGTTTTTCCTCAATGACTGCTATTCATCTTGAGTTGTTTGGAAAGGGATGTACCCACATAGAGCACAGTTTACACCTATGACAAAGGAAAAGACTGCAAAAACTAAAAAAAAGTCTAAGCCTAACCATTAAGTAAAAACTCATTTCATAATGTCTATCTGTATGAACTGGCTTGAATTTGAACATCTAGTTTCTTAATAAAGCTTGAGATTTCTTCTGATCAGTTCATCTAGCAACACTTCATTTGGAAATCCTTTCCATTTCTCAACTTCTCACTGACAGATCGAAGGAAGCAAAACAAAAATGCTGTTATTTGAACAACAGCGCCACGTAGTGTTACAAAACAAAAGGCAGGCAACCTCAAGCCTCCCAAACTCGAGTAAAGAAAAAACAGGGACATAATTACATCGAGTATGAAGTCTCCTCATATTGGGATTTTGGACAAAACAGATAATATAGCATTCAGTGTAAGAAAGAGAAACCAAGCACTCATTTTCTTAGTTCACTCTGCAGCCCACGTCAGCTAGCAAAAACAAAAAATATATATTGCAAGTAAAGTAGCAGTGAAATCCTTAGCATTTGAACTGCTTGCATTATTTTTCATTCAAAATATATGCAAGAACATGATTTGTATTTAATTCAAGAGCAGATAACCAGTATTGGAGGCTATACCTAAAAACTCAATCAAAATAATAAACTATTTGCAAGACTGGTCACAAGTTTCTACTTGATTGGGAGTGTTCACCTGTAGAGAAGAACCCAAAAAGAAATATGCTGATGTTGATTTGTCTTCACAAGTTTAATCTGAGAGTAGAAGAGAGCACTGAAACCTTCTTCATGACTTCTTGTGGAGAGGTTTTTTTTACTTCAGTTCTAATACTGTTCATAAGGCCTCACATAAGGAACTATGCAATATTGCCAGCAATGGGAAGTAGCAAGTTATCCAAAGAAGAACCAACATTTTCACCGACTTCAAAGTTGTATTAGATGTGGAACAAGGATTTTTTTTTTTCCTTCTTCTTGAATACAAGAAAGTCCGCATTACAGAAAAAATATTTTAACATTCAATTTTAGAAAGAGTTTCTCCAGGAAGCATTTATATAGCTTTAATTTATAAAAACATATCTACAAAGGAAAGAGACAAACCATTTTACTGCAGGCAAGTCTAGTCTTTTCTAGTTTCTATTTTATAATATATGCCTTACTAAAAGAGCCAAACTTTTATTAAGATACTTACATTCATGTTTTAAAAACCCTGTGTCCATTGTCACGTGCAAATGAAACAACACACAGTACAGCTATTTTATTACAGAAGTAATCCAGCATTGACTTTCATTTAAAAAGCCATCAATCATGCCTAGGCTGAGAGATTTTCTTCTATAAACTCATGGAATATGAAAAAGCCCCCAAAAACCTTAGCAGTAGATGGACCTGCAATTCCAAGGCTTTTGAGATCACAGTTATCTTTAAAACCCACAAATCCACACAATCCAGACATTATTCTTGCCCTTCAGCCTGGGTTTTGTCATATTTTTTTCAGCCTCCCTTTCCCCACCTGCACATGATTTTAGCAGTTTCCAAGAGGAAGGGGCACAATCCAGCTCACACTCAGCTTTCAGTCTGCTGCTGACAAAGGGATTAATCCCAGCTTTATTAAATCTCTACGGCTAAACCAGTTACTTGAATAGCCAAAAAGATCACTGACTAGAAACTAATTGAAGCTTTCTGAATATGACTTGTCCCAGCATCCAGCTGCACTGTGGGCTTGGGGAGATGGAAGCAGAGACAGAAACAGACAGCTTTAGTACACAGAGAGAACCGCTACCCAGCCCACATATACCAGCGTTTTAGAGCTGGCCATCAGTTAGCAAAAAGAGATGTTGTAAAAGTATATACCAAGTTTGATTTTGCTGTTTACTATTCTATCCAATACTCCAACACCTTTACTCCCAGCTGGCTTGGGAGCTCTAAGCTGAAGACATTTTGAAGCATTACAACTAAAAATCAATACTTTCCTGTAAAAAAAAAAAAAAAAAAAAGTAGCAATGGAAGAAAACTGTTCAGAGCTGCAAAAAACTGATGCCAAGTACTGTACTGCATGGAATACTATGGGTTGATTTCTGAAATGCCCTTTCCAGAGTGTCATTCCATACTTCAGCAAATCATGAATCAAAAAAAAATAAAGTTCTTTCCATTTCCTGTATCTAGTTAATATATTTCTATAAATCTTTTTTTACTAAAATAATGCCTTCTCATATTCTTGTAGACAGTTCTGTCTCCTAGACACACCAGCTCAAAGGACTCACTTAACATTAATTGAAGCTGCTTTTCCTGAAGTCAAACCAACCCCTAAATCTATATTTTGCTCCATAGTGCAAATACGACTGCAACATTCCTGAGCACGTATTTCCAATTGATCTAGGCATCAAGTGGAAAACTCTTTTCATTCACACAGATAAGCAATTCAGAAGCCACTAGCAAACAAAGACAGCAAAACAGAAATCCACACAAACAGATATGTTCTTCCTGATTAAGTTTTAAGTTAAGTACAACTGGTTTTCATGCACTCATATTGCAAACACATTTTCTCTTTATAGTTTAGAAGCACTCAGTGGGCTGGGACAGAAAAGTAAAGTATTCTGAGAGAGGCAAGAGGTGTTTTTTATTAAAGGACTGAAGTTCCCAAACTCATATGCTTGTGTAAGTGTAGTGCTCTTAGAGCAGAAATTTTGTTTTGCATTTAACTGCAAAGACAGACAACAGCATTTGGCTCATACATAATAAATCTGCACTTGTGACAGTTTTTCACTAAGTTCTGTTCATTTTTTTTTTAACACAGAACTGCCACAAGCAGGAAATTTTCACAGTAAAGTGAACAGATATTCTAGATTCTAGGTCAATCTTTTCCAGCTTTCCCAATAATGTTCACAAGAGGTTTAAGTAACTATCAAAACAGCATTTTCAGCCCATCTTCTCAGTCATCTTAAGTGTCAATCAAGTAATTACTACATTTAAAAAATAAATACTTCATTCCTTACTCATGAAAAAGCTCCCATTATAAGTCCCATCTGAAGCCAGCTTTTGCACAACAGCAGCATCCTTCTGTGGATTTGAATTCAAGTTCTCCCTAACACTGAGGAGGACACACATACGCTATTATTCTTCAGTTACATCTTCAGTGAGGTGTTGAGATAAAAGTGATGAAAGAATTCATTCCTTGCAGGTTTTTTCAGCTGTACAATATTTCATCACAAAATTCTCAATTACTTGTTTTATATTTGGCTGATTGCTGCCAAAAAGGCAATAAGGAATATTATATTTCCGCAGACATAGATGATTAACACAACTTGTTTAAACAGACGACCCTGCAAGAGAAGGGAAAGAAAAGCCACAGAATTATCAGTATTTTTATTGGTTTAAGCAAAGAACCAACCCATCTGAGTAATTATTTTTTTAAATTGTGACTTACCTCTGCTTCTGCAGATGTGAGTGACTGCAGTATCTGTACTCTGTCATCCTCTATCATTTCAGCTGTTAGTGTGAAGAAAAAAGTTAAGCCTGCTCATAAGAGGAAGGGGTTTCTTCACTTTTATACTGCAAAAGTCTTGATCCTAAGTAACTATGTCTTATCAAATTGGAAAAGCACTTGGAAGTCTCATTTGACAGCTCATGACCTGTACTATTATGCCCACAGTACAAATGAAGTGGAGCTGGCCTAAAAAAAGTAACTTCTGGATATTGAAATGGCAAGACATTTTGCCTTTTTTGTTAGCATGAATCATCAAAATACTGCATTTTGATCTGAACAAAACATTAGTTTGATCCAAAATCTTTTCATTTTAAGATAACTAGGTATAGTTAAGAAGTATTTTTCATTAGTCAACATGAGAACATTAATTGTTCAAACATTTCATGTTCATTATTTCTAGCAATTACTGCAGTTAATTTTAAATAAACATATTTTATAATTACTCCTCCACATGCCACCTTACACAGCTTCTTAACTAATCATGCTTCTTCAGTTCTGTAGATGTTTGATCTCTACTCCATATATGTGCAGTCATCTCTTCTCAGTGACACCTTCCAGCAAAGCTAAGAATTGCCATTGAAGATACTACCAGTCTCTTTGTTACACATTGGAGTCGGGATTTCACCTTTGTTCCTCTGCTTGCTCAAAATTTCAAGCATTTGTGCTCAAGTTTCTGATTATTTTCCTCACACAATAACAGCCATTCATACCAGCAATTTGTCACAATGAAACTCAGATTAAATATGCATTAATTAACCAGGTCTTTGCCTATCTACCTGGTATCAAAATCATGGCAAATAGTGACAGATTCTTTGAAAATACTTGTACATTTCAGTCTGCCCCTAACAACAATGGTTTGAGAAATAAGAGGCTACTATTTTAAATTGCACATAAACATTTTTTCTAGAAATGTCTGGTCTTGAAAATTGGTTCACTCTTGTATTAGTTTCTACAGAAGATATGACACTATTACTCAGGAGTTGTTCCCTTTCAGCTTCCAAGTTAGAAGCCAAGAAACACCTCGTGAAATTCAGTCCCCCTGGTTACATTTCTTGCACAACCCTCAGCAAAGAAGATAACAGAAGTTTTGTTGGATTTGTACCTTTAAGTACGAGACAGTAGCTGTGTATTTCCAGAAGAACATCAATACTGACATGCCAAGTTACAAAACCAATCACTGTATAGGTGTCCCATGGGTCTGGTAGGTCAAGTGCTGGGAGATCCATTCCCAAGAACATAGTCACTACTAGTAAGTAAAAAAACACAAAAAACAAAAAAAACCACACAAAACAATGGAAACTAAGATAGCTGTGTCAGGGTAATATTAAAAATGCCTTCAACACCTCTGGCAATACATTTCCTATGAACTGCCTACAACTGCTTGGGGAACCAGGTGAAAGGAGTCTCTGCAGCTAAAAGTATTTTCCTTTTTTTTAGTAGTGTGAGGAGGGAAAGAAAGGGAGAAAAGGAGAAGGCCAAGATAGTTTTTATCCTTCTCAGTGCTGTATCACATCCCAGTCACAAACACTAACATTTGTGACTACCAACAAAAACAGTCACAACATGTTTTCAGCTGCCTGTGGAAACTTGTTAATATTAATAGAATTAAGCCCAGCTTCTAGTTCTGAAAGTTTCCCCTTTCCATTTAAACAACATTGAATTAAGTTGAATTAAGTTACTGTAAGAACACTATCTTCATATCTTCTGAGACAAAAATAAATTACTCCAGAAGGTCCTCATTAGAGATATTTCAGTAATCTCTTGTTTACATAGTCACTTTCTCCCTAAAGCTGCACCAAATAACCCTTAAAACTCACACAGAAAAATAATTAAGAAGAATCTTCAGAGACACCAGGACTGGATGTCCACAGATGTTTTGGATTAACAATAGCCCAGACAATGAAAAAGGTTCCTTTAAATCACTTAAAAGGGATTTACAACTATTAATTCTACTCACCAGCTAGTATTCTAGCTGTCGTCCCAGTACCCCAATGAAACCAGTTAAACAGTTGCCTCCTACAAAACAATGAAGAGCATTTTTTTAAATTACACAGTTCAGGGAGGGGAAAAATAAAAACATGGTTAATTATTTTAAGGATGCCTTTTCTATGTAAAAAGAGTTTTTAAAGAAACAGGGATATTTAATTCATGCAGCTGTAACTTAATGGGTTAGTTATGAGTACCTTGGTGCATGACGAGATGGTCTGAAACCTGCCATAAGTGGTTGAAGGATTGTCAGAGCCACCACAGTACAGCCAAGATAGGGATGAAGACCTGCTTGCTAAACACAAATCATTTCTCTTTAATATTGTATCTATATAGAGAAAATAATTCCAAAAGTTAATTTTTCTTAATCTTAAGTTCCTATGCTAACTTGCAATGACAGAACAGCACTGTTTTGAGACTGTCAGAGGTGACAAGACACAGCAAGCCACCCTGCAGCTGGACAGAGATTGCTCTCCCTGGCAGCATGACACACTGGTAAGTCTGCCCAGGGTTTATTCCATCTTCTTGCTGTATTGAGAGAGTCTACCAATTGAAGAACAGAGAGCAATATGACTGTATAAACTACGCTCCAAGCTCTTCCTCCTCAATCTTGCATCTTCAGGAACTTCCTGCCTCTTTTGTAACTCAACCCAGCACTGGTCTCTCCTCTTACCTCATCTGTTCTAATCTTAACCCTAACATATTTCATTATAGAATCATAGAATCCTAGGGGTTGGAAGGGACCTCAAAAGATCATCTAGTCCACCCCCCCTGCCAGAGCAGGGTCACCTAGAGCACATCACACAGGAATGCATCCAGGTGGGTTTTGAATGTCTCTAGTTGAAGGAGACTCCACAACCTCCCTGGGCAGCCTGTCCCAGGGCTCTGTCACTCTCACAGTAAAAAAAAAAATTTCAGATATTCACCTTGAACCTCCTATGCCCCACTTTACACCCATTACCCCTTGTCCTATCACTGGTCATCACTGAGAAAAGCCTAACTCCATCTTCCTGACACTCACCCCTTACATATTTGTAAACATTGATGAGGTCACCCCTCAGTCTCCTTTTCTCCAAGCTAAAGAGACCCAGCTCCCTCAGCCTTTCCTCATGAGGGAGATGTTCCACTCCCTTAATCATCTTCGTAGCTCTGCACTGGACTCTTTCAAGCAGTTCCCTGTCCTTCTTGAACTGAGGGGCCCAGAACTGGACACAATACTCCAGATGCGGCCTCACCAATGCAGAATAGAGGGGGAGGAGAACCTCCCTTGACCTACTAACCACACCCTTTCTAATGCACCCCAGGATGCCATTGGCCTTCTTGGCCACAAGGGCACATTGCTGGCTCATGGTCATCCTCCTGTCCACCAGGACCCCCAGGTCCCTTTCACCTACACTGCTCTCCAGCAGGTCAGCCCCCAACCTGTACTGGTACATGGGGTTGTTCTTCTCCAGATGCAAGACTCTACTGGTCTACCAGGCAATATTCCTCTTCTCTATTGCTATAATTTGAAATTAGTCTACTTAAGGACAGCTTTCACAGCAAGTTCCATAGCAATCTCTGTAACATGCTAGTCATCAATTGACTTCCTTCTCATTCCTTTCCAACCTTTACATTTGAGTGAATAAAAACAAGAGTACACACTTACTCGACTCCAACCTCCTCGGTATATAAAAGGCAACACAAAAGAAATGCTTGTAAGCATGACTGTGATCAACATAAGCACACGATGCACCTAGAAAAATTAATTAAGTTTTTAGAAACTCCTCAGATTTCTTAATACACCATTAAAACACATGTAACAGTTCTATGGTTAAATGTGTTCTTAGTATCCTCTTTAGACTTCACTTTTACTAGTAAAGTAGGGTAACTTCTAATTTGTAATTGTTCCATTTGTTAAGAGTAAAGAAACAAAAATCACACAAAGTTCCATCTCCTGTTTCTTGCATCTATTAGGTTTATAATTCTGCTTACAATAAAGCTAGCAAATACAGCTGGAGGCATGGGTAGATTTTGCCCACCTGAAACCACAACTCCTTTCCAAACAGGAGTGAATGAGACCAGACAGGCTTGAAAAATCGTGCAACAATAACGCCAACACTAACTGTGGTAATCCAAGCAATAAACATTAGCGCTCCTGAAAATTGAGAAAAATACATGGTAAATGTGAGTAATTCAGCTCTACATGAATACAGCTTCAAGGACTGGGCTATCATTTAGTTTGTATACATATAGATGGTAAGTACATACCTGGGTCAGACTACAATTTTATAGCATTTATCTTACTAAAGAGCATCCATATGAAAGATAATCATACTGTGTCCACATGGCACAACAGAGCAGCTCTGGCTACTGTGCATTTCACACGAGCCAGTACAGTCAGCACATACTAGTGCATGCTGTTTTGTCACCGACTTAGACATCAGAAAGTGACAATTGCTTTGATAAAGAAAGAGCAGTAGTTCTCTCATGGGCCTGTTTTAAAGTCTGGCACTGTGTAAGAAAAAATTGGTATTAAATTCAGTAGCTCTGGACTGTCTGTTGAGAAATTTCTCACTTCAAAGAGAATTATGCCAGTAGTGCAACTATAACAAACCATAGAGAATAAAGTAAATAGAAACAAGTCCTAATCATAAATTTAGGAGAAAATTAAAAGACAGGTTTACTTTCCCAGGCAAAACAAATCTTACAACACTGTTCTTGATAAGAAAAAATAACTTGACTCTGTCTTCACAGTCTCAGGTATTGCTAGCCAACCATATATAAAACATGAGTGCCAGACAGAAGAGAGGAAATACCTACTCTGTAATAATGAGAAAATCTTAACTCTACAGTCACAGCAAATCTAGAACTGAAAAAAAACCCTACAAGTTTCACCTTACCATGAGCCTTGATAAGCCACGGGGACCGGGAACCTCCGATATCCTGAGGAAGGCCTGTGACATTGTACCTTCCATTGGTGACCAGAGGCTGACGATGATGTTTGTATATTAATCCACCTACTCAGTGACATAAGGTGGTTTATTTATGGCCAATGAAAGCACTGCATTTCAAAGTTCTTATTTATGAATGCAAGCCCTGTGGTGATCACTGAGCATACTCCAACAATTTCTGACACACAATAAGGTAAGAACCTGAGATGTTATCTAAGGTGTCTTGCATACTTCATGTACAAGAACCAACCCACCCCTCTACAGAAAATAGCTTTCTCTATGACACACAGAAGACATGAAGACTAGCAATTTTATGCCAATCTCCATTTTAAAGAGATGTAGCTAGCTTGTAAGAAACTAACAGTACCATGCATCAAGAGAGCATACACCACACATACATGAATGAGTTTACTGCAACTTCCAAGTCATCCCATAATCCACAGAGACAGTAAAGATGACTGGACTAAGTGCCTCAAATTTGGAAACCTTAGTTCAAATACTAATTCTCAGCTAAACCACACCTTTCATAAGGGTTACTAAGTCGCTTAGAGCTGTTCAAAGATAAGCAACTATATGCAAGTTTACCTTCATCAACTTCCCCATCTGCCATGAAGATGTAGTAACTGGAATCCAGATTAAATCTCTCTTTATAAGCAGGAAGACAAATACTCCTTCTGAAAGAACATTGAAGAACACCATCCGCAAGCCTCCATGACACATCTTCAAGGGCATTCTGTGAAACAGGAAACATTTAATAACCAGGGTTTTTTCAGACTGGCTGAACAATTAGCTTAAAAGAACCTGCAAAAGGTAAGTGTCACTGGTGCATTAAAGAGAATGGCAATGACTGGGATAGGGAACAGAGGAGTACAGGGATTCTCTCTTGCGTACCGTCTTAGAAGGTATGTCAGTAAACCAACACAACAGCATGAGGGTTGGACTTCCCACCACCAGTTTTTCCAGCTCATAACAATCTCCCTTCCCTTCCAACCTTTAACCCAAGATTCATCAATTGCCACTGCAGCCCTAGCAGGCAGACAGACAGTAATAACGAGCACAAAGTCCGTGAATAAAGTAAGCTCCCACATCTTAGTTTTAAACTTTAGACTTCCAAAGGTAACATTTAACAGGAGGTAAGAATCCAAGCAATCTTGCCTTAAAGAGTTATGGACCCACCACACTGTTTACGGCTGCTGTGTAAAACAGAAGCACAAAGCAGCAGCATATAATTTATTACTTAAAACCTATATTTGTGGAAGTATCTTATCTGTTTTTGAATGTACCTCTGAATCCAAAAGAGGAGGACTTCGCCCCTTCAGATAGGCAGTGCTTGCGTGAACATGGTGGTCCTCATTAATGCACAGATATGCATCATCACCACCCTTGGAGAGTTTAAAAGAAAAGGTATTTATTGCCCAATAAAACCCACTACTGGCAGTCTCCAAAAGATTTTTCATTTAATATGTGCAACAAGACCCGAGACAGACTCCCCTTGCTGTCAAGCTATAATTTCCCAGCTTTCAAACACTTCAGTATTACAGAGGAATCACATTAAATCAAACAGATGACACAGAGTAAAGCACATTATGATTTACATTTTCCTTCCTCCCAGGGTAATAACCACACTATCAGAAGTTCATTTAATTATTTAGAATTTAATAAATTAACCAGACAAGATGGAGATGGATGCTGATGTTATTTAAAAAACCTCTTTAGTTAAAAGTTGATTTTCCTCATAGCTATAAAGTCCGGTTAAGAACTAAGTGTTCTTGCTCCAGGGACATGAACATAAACATTATCTCTTTTGTGCAACAGCTAGTTTTTGTGTTACACATTTGTCAACAGCATCATCCCTCCTCTCTAACACCAATTTGGAAAAAAGGACTTCTAAGCCCTTTTTATGATTGAATGTAGCACACTCCTGTGCAAAGATAAAATGCAAGTGGTTTTCAGAGAGCATAGCAACTCATCTCCTGACAGGTGGGGGTTTTTGGCTAGGTTACAAAGAAAGATTGGTCTAACCTTTCGTTCCAGTTAGCTACCATGCAATCAGACAGATTGAATTCTACTAAGGCAGACATGCACAAGGAAACCCTACTGCAAAAAGTTGGTCCTGTGCTAAAACTGAGTATCTGCCTATAAAAGGCAACCTGTGCTTCAGCGCTATGGGAGACAAGTTACTTTGTGTGACATCTAGCAGCATTTCAGTTTTCCATATGCATGCTTTGCTAGAGTACCAGGCAAACTTTGTACCAAGATCACCAAAGCAACGGAAGTAGTAGAATAGGACACTCACCATCCACTGGTCACGGGACAATGCAAATGCTAAATACCCTTCACTTGGACCACTCATTTCAATTAATACGGAACTCTTCTCTCTTTGGAAGGATAGGTAAAAACAAGAAGCACTTCCAGGATCACAGTTTGAAGGGTTCCTAATGCAGAACTTTGTACTTCCACAACCTGATGCATTAAACTAGACAATTAAGCAAACAAGTCATAAGCAATGAGAGTTTCCCTCTTTTTCCTCCCTTTCTATCTCGTTCTAAGAGAAAACATACAAGGAACAGCCAATAAATGCCATCTATGTCTACATATCAATCTCTTAACATGTCCCCATGATTACCCCAGGACTAATGATGGTGATTTCCAAGCTGTATATTTATTCAAGTTGGACTATCGCTTTAAAGAAACATAATATTTTACAATATAAGAACTTTTAAAATAAAGTAAAAGCTTCCTTTAGGTAACATCTTTAAGATGAGGGAGAAAAGAAAGAACAGCTTTCCATTTCCTTTTTTTTTAGATAGGAACTCCACTCACACAATGACAACATACACGGATTAAAAGTCATGCTTATTCTGAATCAAACAATGATCCTTGCTCGATCCATGTAAAAATCAGTAATGGAAGTTCAGTATATCACAGAATGAAGTTTCTGAGCCTACACTTTATAAATAGGAAGCTATTAGTCAAGACCAGAGCAAGTCTTTTCCCATTTGTCCTTCCAGGTAAGCACAATAGTTTGACCATTAAGTTCCAAATATTCTATCAACCTTCTGACTTGTGTGTGGTATGACAACATTTAACCCACACAAGTTCAGGCAATGCAACCCACACAAAAAAAGTAGCTGCCCATAATGTTCATCTCTGATATCTAGGTTACTCATCCACCATCTCTCCATTTCTATCAACAGGCCATATCAATAGGATCACATAAAATTCCATTGATCATAAGCATTACAGATAACATTATTTAGGTTTATAATCACTTACTGGCTTTGATAAGTAGGAAAATGGGTGCGAAGTTGATATGGCCTCTGATGTTGCATGTAGGGGTGCTGTTGGGGATGGTGCATTAGGCTGAGAAACAATGGGACCAGGAATCTTCACCCAGAAAATTCTGTATTTCTTTACAACTGTGGCTCTTAAAAAACACAACACACACACATCACTATATATCAAGAGCCAATCAGGACTTGAAAAAAAGTATAAAATAATTATTTTGTAGTGGAAAAATAATTCTAAACATACTATTGCATACTCTACTGGATACAAGAAACATTCATGACTGTGGCACAGAGCTTTTACCCATTAGTTCCCAAAAATTAGAAGTGGAACAGCAGGGTACACATACTATTTTGTTAGATACAAGCACAGAAGAAGGTTCTTAACATTGTACATTACAGGCATGAGAAGCAAGCAGTTAGCTAAAAATACTAAAACTCCTCTGTGAATCTGTTTCTACTCTTCCTACAAAAATCAAAACACTAATCTCCAAGCTTTCCCTAAAGAGCAAGTGTCTGCACTAATGTAGACTCTGCAGATAGCAAGAGGTGTCAAATTTCCAGTCCAGTAAGACAAGGATACTCTTCAGTTGCTGGCCAATATTTGACAGAGACAATGGTACAGATTTACTTTATTTGCATTTTAATAAACTGAAACTGATACTAGATTTACTTACAGAAACTGTACATGCTTTGGTGCATCTCCAGGAGCAAACCAATAAACTTTTATGTATTTCTTTTTTGCTTTACTTGTGTGACTGACAGCTGAATTCTGAAAACACACACATATCAAGAGTTACACAGTGAATATACACTTAAGGAGATTTTTAGCTAATAGTCATCACAGGTTGCAGCTAAATCCTAGACTGACACCACACTGTTACACTGCACAGACCCAGTGCAACTGGCTTTTCCCCAGTCAGTCATGCTCAACTTGGATGAAGCCTACCACTGAGACTTACACATACTAACAAAATTTAAGGCTAAAAGGAAAAAAATAGAGGTCCTTCAATCCAAAAGACTCCAGTGATTACAGAGGTCCCTGCAGCATTTATGCAGAAATGGTGTAATAATCCTCCATTTTTTAATAACAAAAGCATGAAGAGACAGTTGCAATGACTGTACAGAGAGAATAGAACACGTGTCAGAGGATAAAAACTGAAAGTAGTCTTGGGATCAGACAGTTATTTCTACAAGATAAACAGATCAAACAGCATTGAACTACATCCTCAGAGCACAGAGGGCACAATACAGACATCTCCATGGCTTTCCAGCACTGATGAATGCGTTAATTAGATACCAGTGGGGGGCAGTAGAAGTGGAGAGAAAAATACAGATCTAGGCAGATGGAGAACTTTGTCCACACCAGCTCAGATGACACTGTGCATGTTCATGAAGTTCAAGCAGGTTGCTGAAACACTAGTCAGATTTCACATCTTTTGCACATGTCTCCTCTAAAATGGATATTGAAGACTGATACAACCTGTTACTAAGAAGGCCCCATTAACAGCAACTGACAGAGCAACACTAAAGATAATAGCCTATTCTAGTGGTTGTTTATCACAATAACTGCCCTCAACTTTCCTTGCTGCAAAATGTTTTCTGTCCTTCACAAGCATGGGAAATTATTAACTGTCCTCTTCAAAGCAAATAGAGCTTGTTCTCCACTTTTGAAGTACAATAATCACAAATAGACTGCATTCATTGTGTCCAAGTGAAAACTATGTTACAAACACTACATGGTCCTGCAGCAGCCAAAAGCCCATCAGTGGGAGAGCTTAAATGGCTCACAAGATCAGTCTGACAGAGTTGCAGTGCAACTTGCCTCTACACAGCAAGTTGGACCAATTTCCTGAGACTTAGCTCAAAGAACATGATGCAGCCTACAGATATGGTCTATGACAAACACTTCACTGCCTGACATCCCAGTTTTAAGACAGGAGACTATACCTTGGTACGGCCACATGTCAGAAGCTGAGAAACTCTCCTGTCAACTAACATGAAAGAACCAATTGCAGAGCTATCCAGGTCTTCTGCATCCCGGGCTTGTATGAAAAATCCTTCAAAATCTGGTCCAGACAGAGAAACTATAGAAGAGTAAAAATAGGTTGAAATACTCTTTGAAGAATTAAACACTTCAATGATCAACTGAAGCTCATTTTACAAGTTTCGAATGACTGCTAAATTCATCACCTGAACAGGATTCAACTGCTTAGATAGAGAATAGCTGAGTAAAGACATGCTACAACATGAAACTGAAATTTAAAATGTTCAACTGTAATCGACATAATACCTTCTATTATGTCCCCTGGTTTAAATTCAGTCCCATTCACTGTAATGGTGTGCTCAGGTGTCAGCTGTGGAGAGCTGCCATGACAAGGTATCATGCTAGTGCAGGCTCCTCTTACTTTTCCATTGGGATAGCCATCCACGGATACATAGAAGCAAATTAACATCCAAGCAGCAAGAGCAAGGCCAGGCAGCTCCATCTATATAAAGAATTACAGGTAAGTACAGTAAACATTTACATGACAGTTTACCACTCATCTTTAGAGGACCTGGTTGACTATTAAAATTTAAAAACATGTTTAAAACAAAAGAATGCATGAGAAGACACCATCTCCAACTGCAGGAGCCAAAAGACACATGTACTTCTGGTAGCTACCAGATTTTTCAAGAACATTCACAGATACTATGTTTTAGGCCATCAAGAGTACAAGTAGTAGAGTGATCCCTCCATCCACTAGGTGGATTTTTCCTCTCAATGCATTTTGACAGAACTTGCCTACACCTGTCCTGTTCTCTCAAAAACAAATTACTGCTTAAACACAGATGGCTCTTCAAAGATTGATGCATATAAATCCACAGTACTGATTAACTATACAGTTATGCCAAGCCAACCTTTTTATTAATCACAGCTCCAAATTGTTAATCACTACAGACTGTCCTTTGTTTCCATAACTCATGTCTATTTCTTCACATATGAGACATAATGCCCAGGTAACAAGTTCTTCTTTCTGTAGGGAAACTAAAGTTGTCAAATGTCAGAAATAGATTTTACACATGCAAAAGAGTGAATTTGGAATAAAGATTTGGAGAAATAAATTTATTGCAGAAAAGCATAACACTTCTCCTTTTAAGTCCTCCTTTTGGATATTGGATCTCCTGACAGTTAGTCAAACAATATAATTGTCACACTCTTATTAAGCGAACAGTATGCATGAAAAATATGTAGCGTAGTAGGACTGGAGAGCCTAAAACAGTTCTGTGAACCCAAGGTGCATCTTAGTGTTTCGCTTTGCCACAAAACTGTTTTGAAAAAAAAAAAAAAGCTGTAGTAATTATTGTTACTCCACAGCATGCACAGTTTAAAGCTGTATCATTTACAGAACACTTTAGCCAACAAGAAAGAGTCTGCATGCCCATAAGGCCAAAAAAATAGAGATAAACTTTATTTCAATCCTTAGGCACAAAAAGTGGGTTATCAGCTCAAGTGGAACATACATCAGGCAAGTAGGTCTGCCTTCTAGAACAGCCATGCCCATGTTGCACCAAGTGATAAGAAGTATCAGGTTATGAAGTTCCCTGAGAGCATGCATGGACATGAAGATAAGACACAGAGGTGTTTCAGACTGAACTCTAGCATCTAAAAACCAGTCAGATCATTAGTCTTACCCATTCTCCAGGAGTCATCAATATTAATTTTCTCAAAGTTCTCATACATTCAGTACTAGAAATCCACAATATCCAGTGCAGTGATACATTTTATTTCAACATGAGAGCTCGTTGACAACTTTAAACCAGTAAATAGAAGAAAACCAGAAGGGAGAGGGGGTTGAACAGTTATATCTCAGGAACCAGAAAAAAGCAACTCTTTCTCTTAGATACTTAAGATAACATTATAATATCTTTAACTTTAGTTAAAGTAAGCCTTTCCTTCTAGTTCAAATACTTCTTTAAATTGTCACAAAGCTAGATCAATGTTATTTTATTCATAAGGAAGCCTACAGGAAACTAGAAAGGTTTGCCACCAGTACAATGGTGGCATTAAAGCAGCTTTTACATGTAGCACTGAAATCTTGAAAACAAGTTGCTGCCAGAACAGATAAGGCTCCATACCACAGAGACAAGCCAAAGAGTAAGTTAGTATTCTAATTTAAGTAGCAGAGGATGTGGTAGGGATTTAAAACAAGAAATACTCTTTAGCAAATTCAACCAACTCAAAAGCTGGCAGAAGGGAAGACAAAGAAGCAGAAATTAAAAGGAAGAGGCTGAAATCTGTAAGTATTGTACTGAAAAGCACGTTTTTTTTAAACTATCATGAATATGTCAGTCTGACCAAGACAAGGAAAAAATGAGTCTGGGAAGCTGAGTACATAACATTAATAGTTCAAAATAAACAATATTAACAACATATCTAAGGCAGATACATAGTTAAACTAATGAACAAACAATAAGCAAGTGATGATGTCAAAACAATACCACTGGCAAGTATTGCCACTAAAGCTAAATTCAAAATTAGAATCTATGTTATCTCAAGTTTTGAGATGTGTAACAGCCTGCTATTACCTATAACATATGAAAATATTCTCAGTTTCCAGTACAAATTGTTATAAACTGTAGATCTTTCCTTCATGGTAGACATGTCCACTGGAGCATAGGATGTTTCATGTAAACATCAGAAAAAGCTGCTTTACTGTGAGAGTGACAGAGCCCTGTGACAGGCTGCCCAGAGAGGTTGTGGAGTCTTCTTTGCTGGAGACATCCAAACCCCGCCTGGACATGTTCCTGTGTAATGTGCTCTAGGTCACCCTGCTCTGGCAGGGGGATTGGACTAGATGATCTTCGCGGTCCCTTCCGACCCTTAAGATTCTGTGATTCTGTGATTGTTTGCAAGTTGTATTAAGAAGCTTTGGCCAAAGTGGTTTATTTATAACCTTTTGAAATATAACTACTCATTACTGACAGCTTACAAATTAGCAGACAGTTAAGTTCCCTGTACTAAGAAGAAAAGAGAATAATTTACTTGAGGACTGAAGCGATGATATTAAAAAAAAAAAAAAACCTTAAAAGCTAATTCCTACAGCAATTCTCTGTTTTTGTTAATTTACTATTATTTTAAGAGCCTGGAAGAACAACAGAGAGTTTAAGGATTCCTTCACTATCCACCAAATTGTTTTCCAAGATGAATGCATTTCGCTGAAATACTTGTGCTAACCAAGGGCCTGAGAGTATGTATCAGCTGCTTCCTCCATTCTGCCTGCCATCTGCACACCATGTGGTAGCACACATCAGTAACAGCCCCAAAGTTACAAGGATGCGCTACAGAGCATATTAGCTTCGTAGTCAGAACACAATCATATAGTATGGATGGTTGGTTTTATTTAGTCTTTTACTGTACACAGACTATTCAAGATATTATATATGACCATAGACAGCATAAGTTCCAGGAATCCTTTCTCTATAGATATAGCACATACTACACCATTACAACAAAAGACAATTATTCAAAGCCCTACATTTCATTCTGTACATTTATTATTCTCTACCTTAAATTTCAGTATAATATATAACTCACAGCCCCCAGCAGGAAATAAAGCTGCAGAGCAAGTTTGGTCAAATAACCTTCATCATTACCTATAATTCTAATGGTGTTTCAAATACCATGTCATGCTTTGGGTAGAAGAAAAGAGGGAGAGAATTGTGTTCCTGAAGCCATTTATGATACAGCCTTCTAAAAGAGGACAGAAAAATACAGCATTAACAGTCATCATCTTGTCACCTTTTCCGTACTTAGGCAAAATGCTTTAAAAAGAAGTTAAGTTTTTCCAAGGAAGTTGAGTAATTGGAACATCAGTTACTATTTATTTCATATGGAAATAGATTATAACTGTAAAATTCAATACTAACAGCCTAGCAGCTGACTTCTAAGTTTCAGTCAAGCATTTTTTCAGCCACACTACTAAGATATTTTATATTCTTGCTAGGCAGGTCAGAACTCAAGACAAAAACAGAGCTTTTATGTTAGAGTATCCTTTTTTTTTGGAAACTTACATTGCATACAAGCCACCAGAAAACTGGAGAAAAGTCACATAGAAAAATCAGAACAGTAGCCCAAAGTTACTCCATGCATGACTAGTTATTCCTAGATGCAGAACAGTTACTTAAAATAAGAAGCAGCCTAAAAAGCTCACTGAGAACCTACAACAGATGCTCCTGAAAAAAAAAATAAAATAAAAACACCAACAGCTAGAAGCAGCCATTTCAGTTAGTACAAATGGAGAAGTAGCTAGCATTCTTCACACTGATGATAGACAGTGACAAGATAAAAAAACCTTTGAGATAATTCAAACATTAATGGTTAAAGGCCAAAACAATTATCTCTGGCTGAACCTCAGGATACACTGCCTGGCAAGGCAGATTGCAAAAAACAAACACAATTTTGCTCACAATAATAGCTACCAGCTTCTGTAAAATTTCAATGCTATATAACTGCACTTGTCTGAACATATAAAATTTATTGTCCCATTCATTGAGGAGTTCTCCCCTCCTCCTAATGAGGGAGGAGGAAAAAATAAAAAAACTGTTGGGAAAAGACAAGTAGTGTAACTTCAGGAACAGAATTTTTAAAACCTGAACCATCCATACGAAAATATTTAGTGGCAATCTTTTAATGATATTTAGTATATGGGAATTTATTCTCCTGACTACACCTCACAGTCTTACAGTAACTGGATTCAAGTAAAGAGAGAGCAGCAATTACTCTCCTCTGTGCTGAAAAAAAGCTCCAACAGTCCCTGCAGGTATTAACAGGTAAGAAAGCCATAGCAACCTAATTCCTCACAAGCATAATGTCCACAGACAAACTCAGGATCTCTTCACAGAAATTATCTTCTTTCAGCTGTTTAACAGAACTTCAGTAGCTGCAGAGTACAAAAACTAAAACTAGTTTCAGAAAAGAAGAGATGAGAGGAGAAGCAAGGCCAACATATTGCCAGGTCAAAGGTACAAAAACTATTCTAGCCAGAACTTCTCTCCTGAGCAACATCAGAAAAGAGGGAAAGCAGAAAAAGAAAAAGTCCTCTAAAGAGTAATAAGCTACATTAAGAGAAGCTGTTTGTACCATGTCTCTTCAGAAATATACTCTTACAAAACAAAAGCAAACAGCTTTGCTGTCCATGAGCCACCTTCCCTCCAAATTCAGAAAAAGAGCTTATATTAACTTCTCTTGCTCTTTTAAATATGGTCGTATCACAATAGCTGTATTCCACAGGGGCAGGAGAGAAAAAACAAACAAACAAAAAAACAACACCACAAAACTGCGTTTACCTTCACACTAACTCACTACTTTTAAAATACAAAAAAATACACACACCCACAAGATGACAAAACATACACAACTCAGCCTCTTAGCCTTTCTACTCGGGAAACATTCAAGCTGACTTCAAGGCTTGTGTATTCCAAATTAACAGTTTAAGCACAGGTACTTACCTCACCGCTAGTCCTTCCGTTACAGTAACCAGCCCTAAGTAACATTGCCAGTGGCTTTCTACCTTTTGTTAAACAACTTCCGATACATTGTAACCTCTTCTATTTCACTAGCATCTAACAGTATTAATCATTATAACAGCAGGGATCAGACGAAGTTCGTCTGAAAGTAAAAAACAACAAAAACACACACAAAAAAAACCACTTATAAGAGCCTTCTTTACTTCAGGCACACTTTTTATGCTGCTTCCCAGGTCAGCCCACAATACCCTGCACTTGAGCTGAAATGCATGAAGCTGAAATGAGCCACTGACCTTGCAACCTCCTTTGCTTTGTCAGACCTGTACTTCCACAGAAGTTCTGTATCAAGTAATTATCGTCTGGTGCAGTTAAGGGGGTGGGGAGGGCAGGAAAGACGAACACACCACAGCTTTTGATACCTTCCTCTTCGAAGCACAAGTCGGTACACACACATTTGCAGGATTATTATAAAGTTTATTAAGCATTTATTCTCTATCAAAGAGACACTTTCTTTAGAAGAGGGGGAAGCAATCTTGCAAAGGCATACATGATGGTTGTCTTTTTTTCCCATATATTCCACCAAGAACAAACAGGAGACAAGGATTTTACCTTGATAATTTTGATTAAGTTTCTGTTCAGCAGCTGCTCTGCAAATAATCTTTAAGGCCCCAACCTTGTAAACTTATTTTATCTACAGGAAGAACACAAAATTGCAGGCTGGCCTAAAAATAACATAGTTTGTTACACCAACAAGAAAATCCAGCCATAGAGCCAGTCTCCTATGCACATTAATGAAAAAACAAAGTAAGAAGGAAATGGTCACATAACATTAACAGGCAAACAATAAGCAAAAAAAGAGAATGGTTGGTCTGGTTTCTAGTTAAAATAAGCCCTTGCTTACCTGTGTCATAAAAGCAAGCAGACTTAAAACTTTTCTCGAAAGCAGTTCAGACACGTTTACACAAAAAACAGCAGCTACAAGGTGCTTTAAAAGCTTCACCTGATTTTAATCAACTTCATAGCAGCTGTAGGTGTTCTACTCATACAGCTTTCAAAAAGCTTCCAGTCTCCACACTTCTACTACTCACTGGTGTCAGTGTCACCACGGCGCTCCAGAGCCACAGCCGTTCCTTTAAAGACAGCCCTGCTCGGGCTCCTCCGGCCCCGCAGGAACAGGCAGCGAAAAGCAGCGGGCGGAGCGGCCCTGCCCGGCCCTGTCCGGCCCTGCCCTGCCCTGCCGCCGCCTCTCCCCGGCAGAGCCTTTCCCCGCAGCAGCAGCCGCGCTCCTGGCGGCAGCGGCGGCCCCGCACGGTCTCCCGCCGAGCTGGGGCGGGGCCGGGCCCGGGTGACCGGGCCTTGCCGGTGCTCCCGGAGGCAGGCGGAGCCGCACGTTGGACCCGCCGACGCTCAGCATCGCTGCGGCCCTGTGACATGCGGCAAGGGGACCTCATTGGTTTGCAGTGTGCAGACGCTGGAGGCATTGATAAACGTGCCGATTTGGGGCCAGAGTCTTTCCCCAGGGGCCTTGCTGTCCTTGTAAAGGTTTGCAGAGCTCACCTGCGGAGGCCAGTCGTGTGCCTAGAGGTGCTCGCGCACACAGGCTTGCAAAATCAGGGTTTTCTTATCAAGACAGCAAATAAGCTCAGGCTGCAACTGGTGTTTTGCTGGCAGAAACTGCAGTTCCTTACACAGGCTTCAAGTTCTGTTTTGCTAATATCCAAGTATTTTTTTAGGTCTTCGTTTAGGGGCTTGGATTATTGACAGAATACTGCATGCTAATTCATTGTCAATATCCCAGTTATATCAAGGAAATAAAATGCACTAGGATATATGAACTGTGAAAAGCCTACAGATCATCTCTGTGAAATGTGCTCCAGTTACAGTTCTGTTAGTGTGTATTTGTAGTTTGGTTAGTGTATTAGTACTGTATTGCAAAGCAGAAATTCCTGGCTTAACCAAACGATCAGTTAGAGAGGCAGAGGACTGGAGGTTGATTTTTTTATCTTATTGCAAGGCTGGAGAGAGATAAAGTCTTGTAATCTACTATTGAACTATGTCAGATGATGATAATGTCAACTGGCAAATGAACAACATAACAACTAACATGAAAAGAAGCTAGTGAGTTTTTTGGCATAGCTTGTTACAGGACCTCAAGGAAGTAAATGAAAGCTTATAACCTTGAAAGCAACAGCAATTCCATCAAGGAGACTACATGCTGAGTTTATATGAAGGGGAATTTCTGTTTCTTAAGAACTGAGGAAACAAGTAAAATATATATAATTTTGGAAATTTAATATTGTTGAGTCCAAAGCGTATACCAATAAGTATGCTGGTTTTTAAGCCCAAAGTAACATGGAAAACAATAAGCTATTGAGGCTAGGTCTGAAGAGAACCTCTATGATTATGTGATTCCTTGTAATCAATCTTCCTCTTAAGTATTAAGCTAACAATACAGCAAAACTGGTATTTTATAAGGTCAACCGTTGTTCGAGTTTCTTGTATGTGTGCACTAGGCAAGTAATTTCTTTACGTTTTATTTACTGCCAAGATTATCACAGTAAAACATCTCTTGAGTTCAAATCAAGTAATGTGCAAAAAAGCTGCATTCCTATCAGATGGTTTTGATTATGGATAACTTGGATCTAAGATGTTTTGTAATTACTGTTTTCTGTTTTGATGTGTTGACATGTATTTGTAAAAATGTGCATTTAGATTTGCCAAATACATGCAGGCAACTAGACTGGTCTTCCTATGAAGATAGCAGCCCTGACACCTGTATTTATTCAACTCCCTCTTGTGTATCCTTCACTTACAAGACTAGACTTCAGTGTTTTTCAAGCTTTTCAGCACTACAGTTTTAGCTAAATATGTATTAGGGAATTCATACCAATAATATAATCTTAGGAAGATTTTTTCCTACCAAAACAATTTGCATATGATTTTTTCCCCAAAAACGAGGGAAATGTTAGGTCATTGAAACTATCCTTACCATCTAAAAGGAAATAATGTACGATGACATTAATCCTTTTCCCTTGAGCTTTGGCATTGACTTATATTTACATGTTTTACCAAATGAATTACTGTTAACTCACATGCTTGATAAATGTATGCCACTGACCTCCTTTTTATCTATGCTTCTCCTTGGTTTTTATTCCTCTTTACTGATCAGCCCTTTATACTTTCACTACTTTTAATTTTTTTATTTTTTTTTTATGTCACACATAAGAATTCTATCTTGGAAGGGTATTTATACGAAAATTACTTGTTTACATAGAGGTAAAAGCAAAAAGCCTTTTACAGCTTTCAGTCAATTACGCCAACTAGCCACCTGGTGGCATCAGCCACTAAGTAAAGTAACGCCTTTCACACTCGGCTACACCGAAACCTACTTTCTTTTTCTATCTCTATTCTGACATACCAAGAGCTGATGTGCACGCGTAACAGCTTTCTGTCAAAAAGCTTATCGACTCTAACTTACACAGTTGATTTGAAAAAGGGAAAAAAACACAACAACAACAAAACAACTTTCTTGCCCATCTGAAATGAAATCATTGAGTTTGGTTCACTAGTATAAATTTAAGCCAGGTCTGTATCAGTGCGTTTCCTGCTCATGTTTCACTTGGTGGTAGAATGCAAAAAGTGATTGAAAAGAGACCTTGGACTAAAAGTGATTTGACAATGAGAAATCAGGAATTGATTCCAAGGCATGAAGATGAGGAAAGGATGGAAATTACCTTTTAAAACAAATGTTTGCTGTAGTCATTTATGTGGTGAAATATTCTCCTTCCACAACATATCACAGTGAGGTAGACTGTTTAAATTACTATGGCTTGAATTCTATCTGTGCTGAAAGATTACAAAGCAGGCCCAAAGGCCTCGGCATGAGCTCTCAGGTAACCTCAGGTTATGGGGGACTAGTAAGCAGTTATTTTTCCGCTTAAAAAATCAGATGCCGATTTTACACAACAGACACAAGTCCAATCAATTGTTTATCACTTGAGCTTAAAAATCTGCCCAGATAAGATTTAAGGATTATACTTTGGACTGGGAAAATATCCATTGTATTCTTACTATAATTAGATACAGTAGGAAGTAGCATCATAAAGCAAATGGAGTATGCAAGGGACACTAAATATTAAGGTTTGAGGAGGAAATATGGACCTGCAAGCATAGATCTGCTTGTTGTAACATTACTACAGTTTCTACAGACTAGATACATACCCTTAAGTCTTAATTCTCAGCATACCTCTCTAGTGTTTACTGGAACAATTTTCACAAAGATAAAATTGCTGGTAGTGATTCAGCAAATTGGTGTAATATGATCTCCTTCTAACACAAAAATTGTCCCAGTACATGAGAATTTTACACGTAACTAAGTTAAATGGTACAAGAACACCACTCAGACACTTGGCTTGAAATTTTGTTTGCCAAGTCACCACATCTGCAGATGATTAATATCAAATGTGCTTTTAGATAAAGCACAGTCAAATTTTCCAATTTTCTGCTAAAAATAAAACAGTTTATACAGAAGTTAAAGCAGAAAACATTGCTTGTTTGAGGCCACACAGTAAAAGAATGGCTGACCTGAGATTAAAAACAAACCAAACATGTTTCTGCAAACCAAAAATTCATTATGACACCAGGTTCATCTTTGAAAGGGCAAACCAACACTGCCAAGTAACTAGAGGAAAGGGCATTTGTTTACATGTTCAGTAAGAGCAAACTGCAAAGGCTAGTGCCCTGGCCTCTGTATCTCATTTGATTTTTTAACTATATAGACTACAGGCTATTTTTAACTATATAGACTATATAGGCTACAGGTGATTACTTCAATGATCCAACCAATATTTTCTCCCAATACTAAGTTCTAATGTCCAAGGCAATATGTAAATTCCAGCTGAGCACATAATGTGTCTAAGAACAGCACTTGTTTTCAGCCACTGCATAGCAAAGATATAACTCACACTCTAGACTGGATTCTAATCAGATTGCAGAGATATAATTTTAAAGTAACTGAGCTTTCTTTC